TGTCACCATCTTATCGTGTTTATATATCTCAACTTGAAATTTATATATTACTGAAAAATTATTGCACCAGGGTTTTCGATATCATAAACTAGTCAAAACATTTACTAAATTTTATCATCGGTATAAGGACATCATTCGTAAATATAACTCAACATGCAGACATCTTATACGTTCCGGTATTTCACATCCAATCTTTTATGGTAATATTCTTTACAAAGCACAAAAATGTCAGTATTCACCTCAAAAGCTAACAAAACCTTTAAACAGACTTATTAAGAAGGGATATAGTTATACGATACTGTTGTCAGGTCATTAAAAATTGCATATTTTGGCTTTAATATTGATTCACTTATAGGGTCTTTGCATCGGAATTAAACATATTTATTCTAAAACCAGTTGTTGGCATGACACGGGTTATGTTCTTCTCATATATTTTATGACGGTATAATACTAAACCCCTAACAGGAGGGATTGTGCCTGATATTCATATGATGAAGACATAATCTTTCAATCAGTTTAATTGAAGTCTGGAGCTGGCATGTCAGTAACTGCTAGTAGTCTGTTGTTATTTATGTATTATTGTCATTTTGTTTATTTTCTTTTGTTTCCTATGCTGACATCGGACTCGGACTTCTCTTAAACTGAGTTTTACTGTGCGTACTGTTGTACGTTTGTTTTTTTCTACATTGGCTAGAGGTATAGGGGGGGGGGGGGGGGGGGGGAGTTTCTCGCTGCATTGAAGACCCATTGGTGGCCTTCATCTGTTGTCTGCTCTATGGTCGGGTTGTTGTCTCTTTGACACATTCCCCATTTCCATTCTCAATTTTATTAACATTGTAAATAAAGGTTATCATAAATATTGCCCAGTTTGGAAGAAGTTATTGTATATTCATTGAAGTTGAAATTACAAAATCACAGGAACAATATCCATGATATCAATTAGAATCATACAGGTAAGTACCACTACCTCTTTGCTGAAATATACACTTTTTTATTTTTTTTTTATTGTAAACGAATGGCCCACTCAATTGACAACATGGCCCATTAATTCTAAAAATAGCCCATTGAATTTATCCTTCCAGATCACTGTATATTTCATTTCATTACATTGTGTATAGATAAAAGTTGTTGACATTTTATAGATAAGTTACAAATCTATATTAGTTTGTGACAAATGCAAGAAAAAATATTTGGAACTATTAATTATATTTGATTATAACTTGAAAATAAATATACATTGTATTACATCATATCTAATTTTAAAGAACTATTAATCACATCTAATGTTAAAGTGTTTTCCACACTTTTTTTCATCATGCTTGAAGATATTTATTGATAATTGTATATAGTTTTTTCATGACAAGTTACAGATCAAGTTCAAATTTTTGTTTCGGTCTGATAATTTTGTGCAGAGTTATGGTCCTTGGACTTGAAAAATTCACTCATATAATTAGTTTTCCACACTGTTTTTAGTCATGCTTGAAGATATTGACTTGATATTTTCTTTTTGTTAACACCATGACAAGTTATAGAACAAGTAAGCATTTTGTTCCAGTATAATGAATTTTTACCCGGTAGGGAACTATGTATTGCCATGCAATACTCTCAGAATGCTTGTTCAATATACTATTGACAACTCTTTTTTTTACAACCTTTATACATAAAGATGAAAATGTTGGTCTTAACTTTAAATTAAAAAAACAATGTCTTTTGAAGAAACCCAGTGCCAATCTGAAAGAAAAATCACAATGTTATAATTTCAGCACATGAAACATCAACTAAAAGCTATTTAGTTATTTTTAGTGAATACATTTTTTTTATGATTCAAGCAATCACCAGAACCAGGACTTTAGAAAACACTCATTTCCAGATTTTATAGTCATTTCCTATCTGTGTGCTGATCCAATTTTTACTTCATACGAAAACATATGATGCCATTTTATGACATGAAAATCGCAAAGTAATCGGAAACAGTAAAAATCGTAGTAAGCCTTGACAAAAAAATCTGGAACATCCTTTTAAAATTCAAGTACACACGTGAATAAAAACTCAGCAGTGAAAACCCTAATCAGTGAAAATTGTTATTAGTATGAAAACATTGAGGATACTGAAAAGTGCATTTGTTTTAGTTCATTAATAGTAGCAACTTTTGGTTAGCGACTTTTCCAGAAAATGAATAAGTTGCTAAATTGATTCTTCTGAAAATCAACTTCTTCCAATGGATCAAACTCATAAACAACCAGGTATTCAGAAAAAGTTCTAACTAAAAGTCATGCCTTTCATGTAATGATAAATCATTTGCACTTTGCAATATTTTCCTTTGAATCAGCCATCAAACTTTTTTTTGCACAGTAAAATTATTTCCCATTTGGCATGTTTGGGGTATTATATCCCAAAATAGGATATTATAACCCATTCGTGAGATAATCCACAGCCTTCATATTAGCATTGTGACATCAGAAATGTACTGGAAAATGCATGAATATGATTATTGATAGTCCTTTTTTCCTTATTTTCTACAAGGCATGAAAGGTAATGAATTTTTAATATTGTACATCTGCTCGCCTCTGGCACATTAAATGCACCATAATTCAATGAATTCATAAAATTGGTACATGTATCAACTCATAAAAGACTAACCTATTGCTTTCTGTTGATGGTTTGTTATGTAAAATCAATCGGCTATCAAGAAATTTCAATTTTTCACTTTGTGGTAGCTTTTACTATGTCCACCACTAATGACATAGATAGATGTCAAATCTATGTGTCAAGTCCACCACTAATGACATAGGTAGATGTCAAATCTATGTTTCAAGTCCACCACTAAGGACAGAGGTAGATGTCAAATCTATGTGTCAAGTACACCACTAATGACGGAGGTAGATGTCAAATCTATGTGTCAAGTCCACCGCTAATGACAGAGGTAGATGTCAAATCTATGTGCTTTATGACTCCAAATGCAATACATGAACCATGAGGTTCGAAAGGTTTCCAAGTTGTTTACAGTCTCCAAAATTATTTAAAAATACAGGAAACCTTTTGAACTTATCTGTCTTCATCATGTTCATGGTTCGTGCATTGCATTTTCTAACAATTATTTACATTACACATTAATGAAATTTCGATTGAAAACCTGTAAAATATCTCATTTCAAAAGTAGTAGGAAGAGATCTATGACCTCTTATATATTTTAATTATTTTAAAGCCATCTACAAAATTTTCTTTGGTATACGTAACTTTTTGCACAGTCAAATCTTATTGCATGGCTTTTAAAAAATGATCGAAACTACACTGTAGTTGTACCTTCTAACACAGTCACCAGAAGGAACACCAATATAACTTATTGTCCACCATGTAGTGTCTACCTTGTTCAGACATTGATAAGTCTATCATGTCTATTTAAAGTTATTTTCTTAAATTTCAGTTTTTTGCATCTAATTACAATGTAACTAAGTCAAAAAGATTTAGATTATTAGAAATACGTATATAAATATGATTTGATGAAAAATTTAAAAAGGTAGTAATAAAGGTTTAAGCGAAAAATTGCCAGAACCACATTGTTTGAACTTATTCATGTGTGCGCAGGTGTGAGATATGCATCCAAAAGTTTAATATCGTTTTTGTGTCAATCATTGTTTATGTCATGCCCAATTGATTACCATAATTGCCTTTTGTTACTAAGTCTTAAGGGATTAAAATTGGGATAAGACAAAAAATGTCTAGCTGGCTCAAATATTTTTTGGAAGCCCTGCACTAGACTCCATAACTTGTACATTTCCATTGTTTGCATTTTGAGTTTTTTATTGTGATAGAACTATGGCATTTAATAAAATTGAATGTATTTTTCAACATTTTTATTACCGGTAAACATATTTTTTTTAATAATAATATAAATATAAGGAGATGTGGTATGAGCTGTTTGCCTCATGGATGTAAACAACTACAAGTTGGTGTATGACCCTCAACAATGAGAAAAAAAAATCCATACTGTAATTGTTTGGAATGGGAGGGTACATTCAGTTGCTTCTATATAAATACATACATGTACTACATTAACCTAACTATAAATCCAGTGTTATAAAAGATCCTTCCATTCCAGGAAGTACAGTTAGATAATTAAGACAGTTCCGATCAGAACTATTTGAGTAACTGGACTATGGACTCATCAGAACAAGCTGGGACTCGCCATTTCAAAAAAGTATAATGATCACTTCTGTTGTCTTGTGTTGTACTCCACTTTGTCAGTGTCACACTTTATTTCCAACTTCTTGAAAAAGGCTTGACTGTGACAGAATTCAACTAAACTTGCACAGAATCTTCTATAGGAAGTGAAAGTTATGCACCTGTTTTTCAATCTATGAAATCTGAGTGATTTTTTTACTTCCTAAACTACAACATGGACTTATACATCTCTACTTTTTATCAGTTTGTTAATCCAAAACTCCTTGAAAACTGCTCTACAGAATTAAACAAAACTTGCACGGATTTTCTACAAGACATACAGTTATGCACTGCAAATGCAATTTAATGTTTGCTTACACTATTTGTTGACAACCTGCAAGATAATGGAACAAACATCCTCCGTGGAAGGTTTACAAATTTATAATTGTACCAAGCACAGTAAGGTTATATTTTTTTTTATTCAACGGCAATATTGCACAGTTGTTTACAAAAATATTAATATTACTATAAATAAATACTGGTAATTTTTTAATGTATTTATATCATCTCAGGTGCTAAAAAGTAAAAAATTATCTAAATTTCATAGCTCATCCGAGATTTGGATGGTTGTTTTTAAACATTTCCATGCGTTTCCGGTTAACAGTTGTTTTTAATCAATTTTGGAATAGACTGTATAATAAGCTATATCTAGATTATTATTCAGGTAGGTCAGTTATAATTTGAAAGATTGATAGTCATACTGTAACACAAAATTAAATAATGAATTAAAAAGGTTACCAAGAAATTCAATATTTTACATATATCATTCTTTGTTTCAGGATGAGAGAGATGAAGAATTTGAGCTATTACCCAGTTCTCCCCACACTCCTCTGATTGGATCACCGTTGAGCAATTCTGGGATCAGCCCTTCACTGCAGACCATCTCCAAATCAAGTGATAGAAATCAACATTCCATATCTGGAGCATCAAGTCCGTCTATAGACAGTAATGTCACAAGTCCACATGTTGCAGCATTGCAGGTGTTTTATATTATAAGGCTTATAAGATTTAGATGGGAGTCAAATGAGCAAGAATTTGAGACTTGCAAACATTTCAACAGTCAATTAGCAATGTCATACAATATTTACAATACAAATAATCGATCCGTAATTTTTTTTACAATTGAGTGAAGAATTCATATATTGGCTTATAGATCAGTTTCCTCACATATCACACTTATAACACATAGATGGTTAGGTACTAGGTAGACAAGAAATGAACTGGTTTTACAGCAGATTTTGATAAGTGTGTAGGCAAAGGTAATATCTTTGGTTAGCTTGCTTGCTAGCTGAACTGTGAAGTCATTGTTAGGTTAGGTAAACTACCCTCCTTTAAGAGTAGACTAATCCGACAGAAAACCAACCTATCTATCTGGAGGACTAGGCTGCTTCGAAAGGAGGGTAGTATACCTTACCAAACAATGACTTCACGGTTCAGCTAGCCAGCAAGCTAACCAAAGATATTACCTTTAGCTACACACTCATTGAAATCGGCTGTAAACAATGAATAAATATTTGAAATTTATACAGAAAATTTAAATTAAAAACAAATTAAAGCCAAGTTTTTAACAACTTTTTAAGGGCCATGTTAGCTTATGCCATCACTTGTCATCTGTGGTCTTTGTTTCAACCTTGTAAACTTTAAAAAAATCTTTTGCTCTAAAACCACAAAGCAAAATGTTTGAATCTTAGCAGTAATGATGTGTGTTTTTGTCCCGGCTGATAAGGCTGCTAACAATATCATTATTGTTTGACGTAAATTTTACATTGAGGTTCTGAAAAAGGAAATCACGAATTCACCAACATTCCAACTGGCTCCATTTTCGGAAAATGACATTTGTAACAAACATAAACTTTTAGCTACCTCTTTACAAGCAGATCCAAATACAATGAAAGTTCCAACTATGTACTGGCTTCCGAAGCTGCACAAAACTCCTTACAAATATAGATTTATTTCGTCTTCAAGCCATTGTCCCACTACTAAACTATCTATTCTACTTACTAGTACACTTGGTACAATCAAAAACCTGGTAATAAATTGTTCAAATAAGGCCTTTGATAATTTTAGTGGAATTAATTACTTTTGGAGTGTAAAAAATTCGTTGGAAGTACTTGATAAATTGCATGCTTATATTGGTGATTTCGAATCTGTTCAAAGTTTTGATTTTTCTACCCTATATACCACTTTGCCTCATAATCTTATTAAGAAAAAATTCACACATTTGATTAAATGGGCATTTAAAAAGTCAGAATGCTAATATATATGTTCAAACTCTTTTAGGTCATTTTTTAGTAACAACAAACAAAAGAACTTTGTCAATTGGACCTGGTTTGATACTATAACTGCCCTTGAATTTTTACTAGATAACATTTTTGTTCGCTATGGAGATTCTGTATATCGTCAAGTTATTAGAATTCCCATGGGGACTAACTGTGCACCACTTATTGCGGACCTGTTTTTGTATTGTTATGAGTTACAATTTATTACCAAAATCAGCAAAGACCCATGGAAACAACATCTGATTAAAAAATTTAATAACACTTTTAGATAATTAGATGATATATTGGCTCTCAATAATGACGACTTCAGTATGTACACTAAAGAGATTTATCCTGCAGAACTGACCTTTAATAAAGCTAATACTAACAATGAACATTGCCCTTTCCTGGATCTTGATATCTATATCTTTAACTGGAAGCTCAATACCAAAATTTATGACAAAACAGATGATTTTTCATTTCCTATTGTTAATTATCCATTTTTAGATGGTGACTTTCCCTTGTCACCATCTTATGGTGTTTATATATCTCAACTTGTTCAATTTGCTCGTGTACGTAACAACGTATTTGATTTTAACGACAGAAATCTCTGTATTACTGAAAAATTATTACACCAGGGTTTTCGATATCACAAACTAGTCAAAACATTTACTAAATCTTATCATCGGCACAAGGACATCATTCATAAATATAAATTTACATGCAGACATCTTATATGTTCAGGTATTTCACATCCAATTTTTTATGGTAATATTCTTTACAAAGCACAAAAATGTCGGCATTCACCTCAAAAGCTAACCAAACCTTTAAACAGACTTATTCGGAAGGGATATAGTTACGATACTGTTGTCAAGTCATTAAGGATTGCATATTTTGGTATTAATATTGATTCACTCATAGGGTCTTTGCATCGGAAATAAACATATTTATTCTAAAACCAGTTGTTGGCATGATACAGGTTATGTTTGTCTCATATATTTTATGATGGTATGATACTAAACCCCTAACGGGAGGGATTGAACTTGATTTTCATATGATGAAGACATAATCTTTCAATCAGTTTAATTGAGGTCTGGAGCTGGCATGTCAGTAACTGCTAGTAGTCCTTTGTTTATTAATGTATCATTGTCATTTTGCTTAGTTTCTTTTGTTACCTATTCTGACATCGGACTCTGACTTCTTTTAAACTGAGTTTTACTGTATGTATCGCTGTGTGTTTTTTTATTCAACATTGGCTAGAGGTATAGGGGGAGGGTTGAGATCTCACAAAACATGTTTAACCCCGCCACATTTTTGCGCCTGTCCCAAGTCAGGAGCCTCTGGCCTTTGTTAGTCTTGTATGTTTTTTAATTTTAGTTCCATTTATATGTTTTGGAGTTTAGTATGTTGTCCATTTTCACTGAACTAGTACACATTTTTATTTAGGGGCCAACTGAGGACCACCTCCGGTTGCGGGATTTTCTCACTGTGTTAAAGACCCATTGGTGGCCTTCGGCTGTTATCTGCTCTTTGGCCAGGTTGTTGTCTCTTTGACATATTCCCCATTTCCATTCTCAATTTTATTACACTGGTATGTCCCTTACGAAACTAAACGATCCTCATTTTGTTCTTATCTGACAAAAAACATGGCTGGCACAGGTTGAAATAGAACGTATGGCATAAGACCTCAGTTTTTGACAAATACATTTGTACCTCATAAGTTAAAGCAGTTAGAATAAAACTGACATGGATTAAAAATGACCAGCAGGTCAATATCTTACAACCTTGAAATTTTCAGTAAAATCAGACAAGTTGTCAGTCAACTCCTTTAAGGAGTTATTGCCCTTAAGGTCAAGGAACAGTAAATAGGCTATGTCACAGACTTTGGTAAAATTTTGCTTACAACTATGGCTTGTTGAAATATAACTGAAAATCGAAAAAATATTAGTAGAAGGGCATGATTTTTCCGGACTGTGCATCCATCCATCTTGTATTAGGTTTAAGTTTTAGTTTAGGATGGTTTGTGTTCGCATCAAATTAGGATTTGATTTGATTTGATTTTTGGTGTTTAACGCCACTTTTAAGCACCGCTTTTGGGCTATTTCGTGGCGGCCAGTTTTAATTGGTGGAGGTAACCGGAGTGCCCGGAGAATACCACCGACCTTCGATAGGAAAACTGACAATCCTAGTCAATTAAGATTGGAGTCGAGTGCACCCGCACATGCGGGTTTCGAACTCACAACCTCAGTGTTGACTGGCTAGTGATTACAGTAGTAACTACTTAGACCACTCGGCCACCGAGGCCCCTCATCAAATTAGGAAACTTAGTACACACTGTCATATGTTCATATAAAGAGAACACTTTGATACAAATGCCAAATTATGGTTTTTCCAGATTTCAGGGTTCACTGAACAAGTTAAAGTTTTGGTTTAGGGTAGTTTGTTGGCACATAAACTTGAGATTTAGTATATATGTTCATTATTAGGTGAACATTCTTTATTAGGCTTTTAACCAAGATTTTACAGTTTTATGAACTTGCAAATGTGATAGTGGGCTTGGGGCATGGTTTCTTATGAATACATTCCTTTGTTTATTTGATTTTGTTATCAGCAAGACAATACAAGAAAATAAAGTAATGGAAAAATCGTCAATTGACGTCTTTTGGGGATTATAAGTCTTAATTAATGCCTTTTTTCATAAAAAATATTCTCTGATTGGATCTGCATCAAAACTGGTCACATTCTGACATAGTTTGTGAATACTACCACTGTTGCTAATGATTTGAATTATTGCAAGATGAACAATTCAAGCTCCTGGAAGCCTGAACTGGTAGGGGACAAGTTTTTGTTATTATGTACTATTTCCTAATTGAACAAGTAATTCACCCAAAGAATTGGTTTTGTTTTTGCTGTGTTGTTTTCGTAAATTTTTCATACATTTTTGTATTTCAGCAATTGTTTAATCAACGACAAGCAAGCGTAGTACACGAAAGACAGTCGTCTCATTCTTCATCACAACATACAGGCAATGTCAGCTCAATACATTTTCCAGAGGAAGACAAGACAGAGGGTAAACTATCAAAAGCATCTTCAAGATCATCATTTTTCTTGCCGGATCATTACGATGATGTTCAAAGAACTGTCAAATCTATGGGGGAAATTTCTGTTGATACACAAGATAGTGCTACTTATCAGAATACGCCGTTTCCCTGTGGTAATATCAGATTTGCTGGAAGAAGAGAAGAGGGTATTGAGGTAAAAAAAAAAATTGGCAAAATTGGAAATATGTTACAAATCATTTACTCATCAAGATAATATTTCATATATTTCTTGAAAGCAGCTCAAACTTTTTTTTTCTGTTTGAATTAAAAGAACAATTTCAGACAACAGTTGTTAAATAATAAGGAATTTATTAATAAATCATCAACTTGTCTTTGGAGTTGATTCTAATTTAAAAAACCATAGACAAATTCACAATACATGCTACTGCATCCAATTTGACACTAAAATTTTCAAATAAACGGAGCTTACTGACCCTTTCAATTATAAAATTAAAGTGTCAAAAGTGAATATATGTTGCAGTGCACAGAGGAAGAATCTGTTAGGGCGGTTCCAGAATTAAACGCATGGGGGGTAGTCATGGGAGGCACTTTTTAAAGACGTCGACATAAGATAAGAATTTTCATTTACATATGATTTTTTCAAAATTCTAAGGAAAATACATTAATCCATATTTGAGTGCCTCCAGTCCCCACCTGTTAAAATTTTGGAACAGCCCTTATCTATTTTGTTTGGTTTTTAGACAATGTTTATGAGAATTTTATGTTCTCTTCTGGTGTTCTGGCTATTTGATGTGAGCATGCATTGTAACCTTTTGGTCATGGCTTCATAATTGCCAAACAAATTAATTAAGGGCTGTTCCAAAATTTATCAGATGAGGAGCCCTAAGGGAAGAGATCAATTTAACCACACATTGATTATGAACATGATGACAAGATAAACAACCAGTCGTGTAATGTTTTAAGTCAGCAAAGAAGCAACTTAGGTGTGGGTTTTGCTCATTGTCGAAGGCCTTACGGTGACCTACAGTTGTTAAATTCTATGTCATTTGGTCTCTGGTGGAAAGTTGTCTCATTGGCAATCATACCACATCTTCTTATTTTTATATTAAATGGTATCAATTTCACTGTAATAATTTAGTTTCAATCAATTAAGGGTAGATAACAATTTAACTACACATTGTTTTTACAAAAAATTAAACAACCAGTTGTGTAAATATTTTAAATTAGTGAAGAAGCAATGTAAATGGTGTTAATTTCACTAATTTATTTTTTACAGTTAAAGAAGCATTACGTTTGTGTTCCATGGGACTCAGCTCCATATGATCTGACCTTTTTCATGGATAAGTTTTGGAACATGAGAAGTCCAAAGATTGTTTTGTCTATCATCTCTGGTGTACATCATTTCAAAGTTTGGAAGAATCCTCGAATGAAGGACCAATTTAAGAAAGGAATCATAAGGGTAAAGAGTAAAAAGTAGAGTGGAAAATAACATAGATGAATGATATGATATGTAGGGTTTACATTGAGACATGTTACACTAAAAAAAGAGGATACTCAAAAAATAAATACACAGAATTAATTACAATTCAAATACTGTAAACCAACTTATTTTCATGGAAACTTTATTTCGCGTTTAGATCTTTCTAGTCCACTTCGCGGCAATTTAATTTCACGATTTTCTAATTTACTAGATGTAGTTGAATAAGGAAAGATCCAAGTTTTACATATTCATGACGATTTATATTCGCGTTATTTTTCTGGTCGTGAAAGTCGCTAAAATAAATCGCTCACGAAAATTAATTGGTTTACAGTAAGAAATATGAGTAACAAAAGTCAGCATGAAAGGAATTGCACCTGTTGTAGTTCAATTCTAAACATTGGTGCAAGGAAATAGAAATGTTCAACATGCTGGTAATTAAAAAAAAAATCAGCCTCTCTTAATAAGGAAAATTTTCAGTCAGAATTGACACTATTTTATGCCCCAAACACTCACTGTTGATATTAGATTCTATAATTTGGCATGTAGATATTTAACTGATTTTTTGTTGTTTAGTTCATATTTACTATACAACTACATTTGAAAAAAAAAAGAAAAATAATTAATGCAAAGTTTTGAATGGAGTTACCAGTAAACTTTAAAAATATTCCAGGTGAAAATATAAATGTCAAAATAGCAGGAGATGCTAACTCTCCTTAGGGCTATTTCAGAAACAGGTGTCTTCTGGGGAGAGAACCCCCCCAATGAAATTAAGGGGTACCACCATCACATTAAAATTAAGGTGCAATATTTGTTTTACATAGAAAGTTTTAGAAAAACTCCCACCCCACTCCTCCTTACCACCACCATCATAATAAGTAATCAATGGCATTCAGCCCCCTGGTGACACTTTTTTCTGGAATAGCCCTGAGGATGATGGGCATGAAGCACAAGTTTCCAGAAATTTTGAAAAAAACTATTTAAAACCACCTGCCAAGATCAGGACTTGAAGTTGAAAAACTTAACTCTGTACTCAGAGTACACAATTTGTACTCAAATACTTGAACAACAAATCCAGTATTTTGATTGGTTGAATTCTTAGTCTGAGTATAATAATCGTACCAGAAATTTTTATTACCGCACATTTTTGAGTGTTTACGTCTATGATACTGTATGTGCTTTTTCTCATCACTTGGCATTCGTCGTCGTTGTACGTCTACGTCCATCATCGTCTGTTAACTTTTGCAAAAATCTTCTCCCCTGAAACTAATGGGCCAAATTTAACCAAACTTGGCCACCATCATCATTAGGGTATGTTGTTTAAAAAAGTCTGATGACCCAGCCCGCCAAACAAGATGGCCGCCATGGCTGAAAATAGAACATATGGGTAAAATGTAGATTGTGTCTTATATCTCTGAAACCAAAGCATTTAGAACAAATCTGGCATGATAAAATTGTTCATAAGGTTGAGATCTTTCTGCCCTGAAATTTTCAGACGAATCAGACAACCCGTTGTTGGGTTTCTGCCCCTGAATTGGTAATATAAGGAAATTTTGCAGTTTTTGGTTATTAGCCTGAAAATTATTATAGATAGAGATAAACTGTAAACAGCAATAATGTTCAGCAAAGTAAGATCTACAAATAAGTCAACATGACTAAAATGGTCAATTGACTCCTTAGGAGTTATTGCCCTTTATAGTCAATTTGAAACAATTTTTTAAAAATTTTTGTAATCTTTTACAAAAATCTTCTCCTCTGAAACTACTGAGACGAATTTAACCAAATTTGGCCACAATCATCATTAGGGTATTTAGTTTAAAAAAGTGTCTGATGACCCGGCCCACCAACCAAGATGGCCGACATGGCTAAAAATAGAACATAGGGGTAAAATGCAGATTTTGGCTGATATCTCTGAAACTAAAGCATTTAGAGCAAATCTGACATAGGTTAAAATGTTCATCAGGTTAAGATCTATCTGCCCTGACATTTTTAGACAAATCGGACAACCCGTAGTTGGGTTGCTGCCCCTGAATTGATAATTTTAAGGAAATTTTGCAGTTTTTGGTTATTATCTTGAATATTATTATAGATGGAGATAAACTGTAAACAGAAATAATGTTCATCAAAGTAAGATCTACAAATAAGTCAACATGCCTTATATGATTTAAATTATAATAGATAAATAAACACTTTAAATCACAAAAATGATCAGCAAGGCAAGATCCATTAAAAAGTCAAATTTTGCAAGATCCATTAAAAAGTCAAATTTTGCCGATATTGTTAGTAGACTGTCACTCTTCATAGGAGTGATTGCCCTTAAATGAGGATTTTTTTTACCCTCTTTTGTGTTTTGAGCAAAAACTAAAGAAGATAGAGAGAAACTAAACAGACTAAAAGATCAGTAATACAAGATCAACAAAATAGAGATTTTCGTCATGAAGTCTATTCTTGTCTACAATGTTGGAGAGTGTCCTTTGTTTGATATATATGCACATAGACCAAGGTGAGCGACACAGGCTCTATAGAGCCTCTAGTTGTTGTACTGATGTCTTTTTTTTAGGCAGCAAATAGAACAGAAATGTGGGTAATTACAAATGGAATTGATGATGGAGTTTCAAGTATGATAGGCGAGGCTGTTAAGGAGGAGAATATTCTCAGAGCTAACAGTAGATATAATTTGAGTCAGCTCAGACCCGATGCTGTAAAAAAATTCCATAAACTGACTATGATAGGTGTCATGCCAAAACATAAGATTTCTTACCAACATCTACTGGATGGTTCTGTAAGTAAAGAAACTCAATTAATGAATTTTGAATTTTTGGTCAATTTCATCTCGATGGAGTCAAAAAGGGAGACTTAGGTATGCTGTTTCAGACTGCTGAGGAATTGGCAGTGGTGTCCACAATGTATTAGTTTGTGATTAGGTCAGTTTAAAGTGAAACACTAGTGGTAGGTCAATAATACTTTATATGCAGTTGTATTAGCATTGGCAATTCTTATTTCAATGGAGATAATTTGGCCCCACCCCCTCAGTCATGGTCTATTTAGTGTTTCCCCTATCACACAAAAAGGGCATGGTAACTTCAATGAAAAAGGGAACCTAGAGCATGCAAAAGATTAACAAAAGGGCACATTATAGATTATGCTAAGAATTAAAGAAAGGGCAATCAAGGTTATATTGCATTGGTAAAGTATGGACTGACAGTTGTTGATGGAATCAGAGCTCAAGATAGCAATCAATAAAAGTGTTATGTTTTAAAATATTTCAAGTTTTTAAATTTCTCGCCTGTATTTGTATTAAAAAGGTCCCTGTAAATATGCTATGCATGACACTTTTATCGTTTATTTATATGTGCTGTACATATGTTGGATAATTTTTTTTCTTAAAATTTTAAAGTTAAGATAAAACTCCATATGGAGGTGCTCCTAATTAAGGGAGGCTTATACTAAGAAAAATAAGGTTTACTATTTTTAAATGCATTACAAGGAAATTAGTTGAAGGACCAGTTTAAAATCTTTTAACAAAATGGCGTCTTGTCAAAATAGAAACATTCAAAAAGAATTTAGTATTTCTATCGATTTTGTTTATTAAACAGAGTAAAACGATGTTGATCTATAATAAAGCAGGTGAAATTGATAATCGGTGGTACTGAGAAATGCATACCAACTTTTTGTTCAAATAAGTACGATAATTTTTACTTGTTCACATTTTTGAAAGATTTGAATAACCATATGATTCGATCTTTTAATCGTTCAATCCAGATTGAGGAGAATTATGATATCGAAATAAATATAATCAAGTGAAAATAATAAAGAAGAAATAAGTAGAGAACCACACCCAAACCAATTCTGGACTTTATACATCCACTTTCTTGTATTCAATCATTTACGAGACCATGGCGTCATCCAAAGAAGTGAAAAGGGGGCATGTCATCATTTATTAGGACAGAAAAAGGGCATGGCGTCATTTAAAAAGGGCATGGCGTCTATCCATGCTAAACATGCCTGGGGGAAAGACTATCTATTGACTTTGAAACTTTTACGTACTAAACGTGTTAGTTTGTGATTAGGTCAGTTTAAGGGGAACCACTAGTGGTAGGTCAATGATATTTGGTATGCAGATGCATAAGCATTGGCACATATCATTTCCATGAAGATCATTTCACAGCTGGCTGGTTGGTCTCCTTGTAGTGCCTCAATTGTGGGATTGATTGATTGTTGTTTGCTTAAAGTGCAGTGTTAAATACTTCATAAATGTCCAGGACAAAAACAAATTAATAATAAATAGATAAAATAGGTAGGTCCTGCAATAAAGGCTGTCTGGGAAAGAAGTCAGGAAATTTGCACTGCCACTGGAAAATTAGGGTATAATGGATAGGGATAGAAATTTTACCTTTCAAAAGGCCACCTACAGAACCCTCAAAGAGTTCTTGCAAGGGTTCTTATCATGCAAAAGGTGTGGCATTCTCTTAACAATTGTGGGAAATTGTGAGACTAATCCCTAGTTATAAAATTTGGACTCTTACTTTAGGTTTTAAACCCATATAGAGATATCTAAACTTTCTCTAACACTTAACCTAAACCTAACCTAAACCTAACCTATACCTAACCCTAACACTAGCTCTAACCCTAACACTAGCCCTAATCCTAATAATCCTGACCTAACCCTAATTATAAATGAATCCCAACCCTTAAGTATGGAGACCTCTGACATAAAGGAAGGCCTGAAATTTGTATATACTTCTCTTCTAATAAGAATGCACCATTTTGGAGTTAGAATGAAAACTGATTGGCTTGGTGTCAGAGTTTCAAAAAAATACAAGTATGAAGCCAACTAGACAATTTTTATACGACCGCAAAAATTAAAAATTTTTTGGTCGTATATTGGTATGACGTTGGCGTCGTCGTCGTCGTCGTCGTCGTCGTCGTCTGGCGTCGTCCGGCGTCGTCCGAAGACACATTGGTTTTCGCACTCTAACTTTAGTTTAAGTGAATGGATCTCCATGAAATTTTACCATAAGGTTCAATACCACGAAAGGAAGGTTGGGATTGATTTTGGGGGTTATGGTACCAACAGTTAAGGAATTAGGGGCCAAAAAGGGGCCAAAAATAAGCATTTTTGTAACTTCCAGACAATAACTTGTGTGTAAGTGTATGGATCTCTCTGACATTGTACCACAAGGTTCCATATCACAAAGGAAAGGCTGTAATTGATTTTGGGGGTCATTGCCTCAAAATTTTAGGAATTAGGGGCCAAAAAAGGGGCAAAAAACAAGCATTTTTCTAGTTTCTTGACAATAACTTGTGTGTAAGTGTTTGGATATTTCTGAAATTGTACTACAAGGTTCCATATCACAAAGGGAAAGCTGGAATTGAGTTTGGGGGTAATTGCCAGAAACATTTAGGAATTGGGGGCCAAAAAGGGGCCAAAAATAAGCATTTTTCTAGTTTCCAGACAATAACTTGTGTTCAAGTGTATGGATCTCTCTGAAATTGTACTGCAAGGTACCATACCACAAAGGGAAGGCTGGGATCGAGTTTGGGGGTGATGAATCATAAGGGGGTTCAAAAAATTTGGGGGGGGATTTTTTTTTTTTCTTTTTTTTTCTTTTTTTCTTTTTTTTTTCTTTTAAAATTTTCCATTTTAAGTTGGTTATTTCTGATTAATATTTAAAAGCAAATAATAATGATATGGTAGGAGATACACACCAAACAGGATGTGTAAATTATTATCTAATAAGTATTGTGCAATAGCAAGAAATTTTCAATTGCACAGTATTGCACAATAGCAAGAAATCTTCAATTGCACAGTATTGCGCAATAGCAAGAAATCTTCAATTGCACAGTATTGCGCAATAGCAAGAAATATCCAATAGCACAATATTGCGCAATAGCAAGAAATTGTCAATTGTACAGTATTGCGCAATAGCAAGAAATATTCAATTGCACACTATTGTGCAAAAGAAGATACTTCGTATAAATTGCTTATTTCTTGATCAATTTCAATGGGGTTTTATTCTTGAATTCTTGGGGTTCTTTAATATGCTGAATCTAACCGTGTATTAAGTTTTTGGATTTTGGGCCCCGTTTTTAAATTGGTCCACATTGAGGTCCAAAGGGTCCAAAATTAAACTTTGTTTGATTTCATCAAAAATTGAATTATTGGGGTTCTTTGATAAGCCGAATCTAACCGTGTATTTAGATTCTTAATTTTTGGTTCCGTTTTCAAATTGGTCTACATTAAGGTCCAAAGGGTCCAAAATTAAACTTAGTTTGATTTTAACAAAAATTGAATTTTTAGGGTTCTTTGATATGCTGAATCTAAACATGTATTTAGATTTTTGATTATGGGCCCAGTTTTCAAGTTGGTCCAAATCGGGGTCCAAAATTAAACTTTGTTTGATTTCAACAAAAATTGAATATATGGGGTTCTTTGATATGCTGAATCTAACCATGTATTTAGATTTTTGATTTTTGGGCCCTGTTATCAACTTTGTCCACATTGAGGTCAAAAGGGTCCAAAATTTAACTTTGTTTGATTTCATCAAAAATTGAATTATTGGGGTTCTTTGATAAGCCGAATCTAACCGTGTATTTAGATTCTTAATTTTTGGTTCCGTTTTCAAATTGGTCTACATTAAGGTCCAAAGGGTCCAAAATTAAACTTAGTTTGATTTTAACAAAAATTGAATTTTTAGGGTTCTTTGATATGCTGAATCTAAACATGTATTTAGATTTTTGATTATGGGCCCAGTTTTCAAGTTGGTCCAAATCGGGGTCCAAAATTAAACTTTGTTTGAATTCATCAAAAATTGAATGCTTGGGGTTCTTTGATATGCTGAATCTAACCATGTATTTAGATTTTGGATATTGGACCATAATAGGTGAATGTCCAATTTAAAATTTTTAAGTTCTTAGACCACATTCATTCTGTGTCAGAAACCTATGCTGTGTCAAATATTTAATCACAATCCAAATTCAGAGCTGTATCAAGCTTGAATGTTATGTCCATACTTGCCCCAACTGTTCAGGGTTCGACCTTTGCGGTCGTATCAAGCTGCGCCCTGCGGAGCATTTTATTAGATGTTATTTTTATCCTCTTTTACTTTTGTAAATAGTCATAAAAACCAATCAAGGTACATGTAACCACTCAGATTCCTTTGTAAAGATTAAATTCACAACACTGAAAATGATTTTAGTGGTACATGTACTTAGATATATGGTTTCTGATCAGCAACATTGTTTCCTGGAAGTATTAAAGCTCGACCCACTATAGCTTATTATATACTGTGGATTCATTTTTATTTATTGGATACCAATTTTGTGGAATTCCTAGTTACGGTAAACCACTAATTAAAATGTTCGACGAAGTACAAATTTTCTATAGGTTTATAGGCTTAATTATATATGCAGACTTTGTCAAATCCAGGAAATCAATGATATCCATCACAATACAATTTTTCCTCAATCCATGAAATTTGGTATTTATATATTTATATTGCATCCTTAGGTTTCTGTTTGGTCTTAAAATAATATTATATTCTTCACACAACAAATTAAGCTTAGGATAGCTTCAAAAGAAATGTGCAAAATATCTTGCATGAGTAAAAAGAAAATGGAACTAAGACAACACATAACATTATAAAATCAAAGAACGTTTTTCAGAACATTTTTATTTTGGTTAAGTAGTTAACATATTTTTATTAAAATTACAATCCTTTAGGACTAGCAAAATCCTGTGGATTTATTTATTTTCCTGGGAACCAATTTTTGTGGATATTTGGTTTTGTCAAAGTCTGCATACATTTCTATAGGAAATTTGTATTTTGCAGTATACTTAAATTTGTTGTTCCCCTGTACCCATGAAATCTGCAAAAATTGGTATCCGTCAAATAATAAGGAACCCACAGTAATGCATTTAGAATATATTGTAGAAAACATAGAGCATGATCTGATAGTGGTGTTTTATATTTCAGGATTGTATTAATGTTATCAATGAAGGATGTAAATTTAAGAAAGACATTTATGAACTCAATCCTGACCACACCCATTTTATCATGGTAGAAACTGAGACGCCAGATGACAAAGAAAAGGTGCAATACACTGAACTCCGCTTTAATTTTGAGAGGCAGTTACAATGTCAACTTGGAAGACCTAGACGTTACAAACGACTCTTAAGTTTTGGTATGATAGTCTGATATAAAATTTATTGTTGTATAAAGTAATACCATTCTGACATGGTTTTACACTAGTCATTTTTGGGGCCCTTTATAACTTGCTGTTCGGTGTGAGCCAAGGCTCTGTGTTGAAGACCATAGTATACTTTGACCTATAATGGTTTACTTTTACAAATTGTGACTTGGATGGAGAGTTGTCTCATTGGCACTCATACCACATACATGTATTCTTATATCTATATGGCACTTAACTAACCTGTTTTTAAAAACTTACTGCTAAAATGGCTGATACTATTGCAAAATGCAGGCAATTGGAAAGGGGAAGCAAACAAGGAAAAGGGGAAGTGGTAATAAACTCTTCCTACAATTTCGAAATAACACCTGAATGTATATTTGGTATATATTGAAGTTGTGCAATTTTTTTTGTATACATTGTACAGAGTTCAAATATTCAGCTTTGAGCATCCTGATAGAGGTAAAACCAGAAATGTGCTTCAGATGCATGAAATTTATAAGGTGTTGTTTTCATTTTTTTTTCTTAGGTTTATCTTTTAGCAAGATTCTCAATAAAGGGTACCCATTTGGTGTAAGCAACTTCTATATTTTTCAACCTAGAACTGTAAAACTTTCTAGAATGTTTATATATACCAATACGTCGATGATGTAACATAAATTTGTGTTGGCATTTGGAACAAAAATTCTTGTAAGAAAGGACATCAGCTATTCATTTTATGCTTAAAGATATATTTTATTTAACTGTCCCGTGAAATTTTGACGTCATAAGAGAAAATGTCTTGACGCTGCAAAAGAAAAGTGATTATTGTATGACGTCAATAGTCCAAATTCTCAGGTTTATAGTTGTACACAGGCTGAAATATGTACCTTCTAGTCAAACATGTGCACCTGTATTAAGAGACAACTTCTCCCTTGAGTGGTCTCTGAATACAGGTTTGACTGTATATAGTAAAAGTACCAGTAAAGATTATTCTGAAATTCATTCCAGACACCAGTTCCTTGTGTAAGTACATAAAACTGCCATAGAAATAATGTTACTATCTTATTCAAAATATACATATATACCACTGGGTGATACTTTAGTATTTTATATGGAAGTACATAAAACTGTTATAGAAATGGTGTAACTATCTTATTTACTAAATATATACATATATACCACCAGTCTTTAGGTGTCGGTAACATGCATAAAAAGTTAATATTTTGTTTTAATAATATACAGGAGGTACTAATCAAGAACATTGATGTCTAGTGGTTTCTCTAATAAAGTTGTATGTATCATAGCACTGGTAAATATAGAAGATTGCTATTCCATAAAAAAAAAGAAATCCCTGGTTTATGCTTATTTGACAAAAAGTTTATACTGTACTATATTTACGAAAAAGATTGATCGATGTTATAGATTATCCATGGTTCTTTCAATGAGATGGAGTATCTGGGCTAAAATCTCATAGAAGGGCGACAGCCCTGAGATGAGATGTAGCTGAGAAACATCCTCAAGTTTGAAAGACCATTGATAATCTTTTTATCATTATTTTCCAAGGCAACGTCAATGACATAGGTTTATCTGACATCATGTATTATCTTTCTACTTGACTGAGAAAATCCCATATACAACATGTATCACTTAATAACGAAAATTAACACAAAAAAAGATCAAAGGAAAATTTGAGAAAATAGAAATTGGCTTTATAAGCAAAAATATTGACAAATATATGCTTTTTTGACAATGGTTATATTTTTTGGTAGAAAGAGAGACATAGGGATTGCTTTTCCAGCGACGGCTGTGGTGATGGCTTCAACAATTGTTAAGTTTTCTGCTTAAGTTAGTTTGATAGGGACTACTTGTGATAGATCATTAATATTTTGTATGATGATGCATTACTATCAGAACATATCAGTTTGACAACAATTTTGAGGCTCTGCCCCCTAGGCCATGGTCCAGTGACTTCGAACTAATTAGCAATTTTAAATGTTAAGTTTTCTTCTTAAGTTAGATTGATAGGAACTACTTGTGATAGATCAATGATATTTTGTATGAAGTTGCATTACTATCAGTTCATATCAGTTTGACAACAATTTTGAGGCTCTGCTCCCTAGACCATTGTCTAGTGACTGAATTAACTAGTCATTTTCAATGTTAAGTTTTCTGCTGAAGTTAGTTTGATAGAAACTACTTGTGATAGATCAATGATATTTTGTATGAAGTTGCATTACTATCAGTACATATCAGTTAAACATCTATTTTGAGGCCCTGCCCCCTAGGCCATGGTCCAGTGAATTTTAATTAATTAGCAATTTTCAATGATAAGTTTTCTGCTTAAGTTTGTTTGATATGAACTACTTGCGATAGATCAATGATATTTTCTATAAAGTTGTATTACTATCAGTACATATCAGTTTGATGATTATTTCAAGGCCCTGCCCAGTAGGTCGTGGTCCAGTGACTTTCAATCACTTTACAATTTTCAATGATAAGTTTTCTGATTAGGTTAGTTTGATAGGAACTACTTACAATAGACAACATTTCCTATAAAGTTACATTGCTGTCTGTACTTCTCAGTTTGTCAACCATTTCCAGGCCTTACCCACTAGTTGGTCCAGTGACTGAATTAATTAGGAATGTTGCTGTCCATCAGATTGTCTTTTTCTGAATTTTATGCCGACTGGCGAGACATATCTCTGTGTCAACAGTTTATATTGTAATGCCTTCAGATCTGGAGCTTTTTTTTGAAACATAAGGAAAAAAGATGACTTACAGATTGAGATTGTGTTTCCTTCATATTGTCCAAGTTTTAGGGCTTAAATTTTCAGAAAATTGTGCTTGTCCTAACTTTTATCTGTAATGCCTGCAGATCTAGACCTGGAGTTGATTTTTGTTACATTAGTGTTAAATGCTAATTCCAGATTTATTTGCAACATATTCCAGTTGATGTGACTTTTTTCATTAAGATAGTAGGTTCGGGAGCAGGGGATAAGGGGTTGGCACTCGTGTTGCATTGATACATCCAGATTCTTTCCAATATAAGCTCTTTACATTGGTGACTGTAGGCTTTTAAGCCACACAACACTTGCAAATGATTAAGTTCTGCATGGGTATGGGTTCTGTTAACTGACAGAGCATCATTTGAAATGTGGAACATCAACAGACTTAAACTACAGACACTTCTATTAATAAGTAAATTTTTGTAACACAATAAAACTAAAAAGGTGACAGGTCTAGACTAAACATGCTAAATGAAACTGTTTTTTTTAATGTTTAGATCAAATAAGCATATTTCAATGGTCACACTATGATTGTTATAAATATACATATTTTAATGGTCGCGCTATGCTTGGTATAAATGTGCATATTTCAATGGTCACACTATGGGTGCAATAAATAAGCAAATTTCATTTGTCATGCTACATGTATGCCTTGGATAAATTAGCAAATTTAAAAAAAAGTTCTATAAATTCTTTTTCTTTCTTAATATAAATACTAGAGACTAACTTAGGTAAAATAGCATAACCAATTGATTTATGTCAAAAACTTTTAACTGCATCACAAATATAGACAGGTGCACACTTGCCTATATGTTATTAACATGGTCCTATTTTTTTTTTTTTTTTTGCTCTTGTTTTTATTATACCCCTGCTCCTAAGGATGGGGTATACTGTTTTACCCCTGTCTTTCCATTCATCCTTCTGTCTGTTCTTCCCATAAAATTTCATGTATCAAATTTTCATTTCATTTTTCTCAGGAATTACAAATCAGACCAATTTGGTATAGACATTCATTTGAGCATGCTTAACAATCTCCGGCGCAGAGATCATATTTGTTCCCTTCAATACTAAGTAACACTACGCTCAATATGAGTGTAGTATTGCGGAGCATGTACAGAACGGATATGAACTCTGCGCTGGAGATTGCATGCTTTACTGTCTGATGCATTTTCATATGTATTGCTATGTAGCTTCCTGTTTATAATACTTATTGCTGGGATAACATTAGTACTTCTCACAGCTCAACTTGTTACATATGCTGTATAAGTGTTTTCAAGAAGTTTGGTTATCGAGTTCAATTCAAATATATAAAAAAGATATCAATATCCATTATATATATATTTAACAGATATTGATATCTTTTAAGTTTGATATTTTTTTTTGGACATGGTATTTATTTCACAAAATCTGGTAATTTTCATTTTTGTAATAACCAATGACTTTGCCATAAACAACTAGGTAGTGTAAGTTGTTGATTTGAAAATCTTATAACATCATTCTGTGGGGTTGCAATACAGAACTCTTTCCTTTATATTAATAACGCTTGATTTAAAGAGTAACACAGTATACATGTTTACGAAAATAAAATCAAAATACATGATCATATATATATATGAAACTATTGAATTTTGGTGGCGTCACTTCAACCGTTCTAGAGTTATGCCCCTTTATAAATGGAAAAATTGCAAAATTTTTATTTTCTTCTAAATATCTAGTAATTTTTAAAATTGGAGTTATCTTCCTTTGTCCATGATTATAGTTGAATCAACTACAATCAATACTTTATACAATGCAATGTTTAATTTTGACTTCCACTGATAAAACACAGATCAAGTTGAATTTGGGTAGACTAAGTGTCACTTTAACCATTATTGAGTTATGCCCCTTTATAAATAGAAAGATTGCAAAATTTTTAGTTTCCATTCTGTAACTTAAGTTTGCCCCAACCAAACATTATGAAACCTATACACAATATTCATTACCACAAAACTAAGATCAAGTACAAATTTTTTGTTTCCGTTTTCTAACTTTAGTTTGCCTCAACCAAAAGTTATGAAACTTATACACAATGCTTATTACTACATAATACAGATTAAGTACGAAATTAGGTGGTGACACTTTTACCATTCTTGAGTTATGTCCCTTTTATAAAAATAAAAATTGCTGAATTTTTTAGTTTGTCTCAACCAAATGTTATTAAACTTATACACAACCGTTCTAGAGTTATGCGTGTTTACAAATAGAAAAATTGTTGAATTTTTAGTTTCTGTTCTCTACTTAAGTTAGCCTCAACCAAATGTTATGAGACTTACACACAATGCTGATTACCACAAAACTCAGATCAAGTTCAAATTTGGGTAGCGTCACTTTTACCGTTCTTCAGTTATTTTTTATGTATGTTTAAATCAAATAAGCATATTTCAATGGTCACACTATGCTTGGTATAAATATAATATTTAATGGTTACTCTATGCTTGTAATAAATATGCATATTTTAATGGTCGCGCTATGCTTGGTATAAATGTGCATTTTTCAATGGTCACACTATGCGTGCAATAAATAAGCAAATTTCATTTGTCATGCTACATGTATGCCTTGGATAAATTAGCAAATTTCAAAAAAAGTTCTATAAATTCTTTCTTTCTTAATATAAATACTAGAGACTAACTTAGGTAAAATAGCATAACCAATTGATTTATGTCAAAAACTTTAACTGCATCACAAATATAGACAGGTGCACACTTGCCTATATGTTATTAACATGGTCCTATTTTTTTTTTTTTTTTTGCTCTTGTTTTTATTATACCCCTGCTCCTAAGGATGGGGTATACTGTTTTACCCCTGTCTTTCCATTCATCCTTCTGTCCATTCTTCCCATAGAATTTCATGTATCAAATTTTCATTTCATTTTTCTCAGGAATTACAAATCAGACCAATTTGGTATAGACATTCATTTGAGCATGCTTTACAATCTCCGGCGCAGAGATCATATTTGTTCCGTTCAATACTAAGTAACACTACGCTCAATATGAGTGTAGTATTGCGGAGCATGTACAGAACGGATATGAACTCTGCGCTGGAGATTGCATGCTTTACTGTCAGATGCATTTTCATATGTATTGCTATGTAGCTTCCTGTTTATAATACTTATTGCTGGGATAACATTAGTACTGCTCACAGCTCAACTTGTTACATATGCTGTATAAGTGTTTTCAAGAAGTTTGGTTATCGAGTTCAATTCAAATATATAAAAAAGATATCAATATCCATTATATATATATTTAACAGATATTGATATCTTTTAAGTTTGATATTTTTTTTTGGACATGGTATTTATTTCACAAAATCTGGTAATTTTCATTTTTGTAATAACCAATGACCTTGCCATAAACAACTCGGTAGTGTAAGTTGTTGATTTGAAAATCTTATAACATCATTCTGTGGGGTTGCAATACAGAACTCTTTCCTTTATATTAACTATGCTTGATTTAAAGAGTAACACAGTATACATGTATACGAAAATAAAATCAAAATACATGATCATATATATATATGAAACTATTGAATTTTGGTGGCGTCACTTCAACCGTTCTAGAGTTATACCCCTTTATAAATGGAAAAATTGCAAAATTTTTATTTTCTTCTAAATATCTAGTAATTTTTAAAATTGGAGTTATCTTCCTTTGTCCATGATTATAGTTGAATCAACTACAATCAATACTTTATACAATGCAATGTTTAATTTTGACTTCCACTGATAAAACACAGATCAAGTTGAATTTGGGTAGACTAAGTGTCACTTTAACCATTATTGAGTTATGCCCCTTTATAAATAGAAAGATTGCAAAATTTTTAGTTTCCATTCTGTAACTTAAGTTTGCCCCAACCAAACATTATGAAACCTATACACAATATTCATTACCACAAAACTAAGATCAAGTACAAATTTTTTGTTTCCGTTTTCTAACTTTAGTTTGCCTCAACCAAATGTTATGAAACTTATACACAATGCTTATTACTACATAATACAGATTAAGTACGAAATTAGGTGGTGACACTTTTACCATTATTGAGTTATGTCCCTTTTATAAAAATAAAAATTGCTGAATTTTTTAGTTTGTCTCAACCAAATGTTATTAAACTTATACACAACCGTTCTAGAGTTATGCGTGTTTACAAATAGAAAAATTGTTGAATTTTTAGTTTCTGTTCTCTACTTAAGTTAGCCTCAACCAAATGTTATGAGACTTACACAAATGCTGATTACCACAAAACTCAGATCAAGTTCAAATTTGGGTAGCGTCACTTTTACCGTTCTTCAGTTATTTTTTATATACGTTTAAATCAAATAAGCATATTTCAATGGTCACACTATGCTTTGTATAAATATAATATTTAATGGTTACTCTATGCTTGTAATAAATATGCATATTTTAATGGTCGCGCTATGCTTGGTATAAATGTGCATATTTCAATGGTCACACTATGCGTGCAATAAATAAGCAAATTTCATTTGTCATGCTACATGTATATGCCTTGGATAAATTAGCAAATTTCAAAAAAAGTTCTATAAATTCTTTTTCTTTCTTAATATAAATACTAGAGACTAACTTAGGTAAAATAGCATAACCAATTGATTTATGTCAAAAACTTTTAACTGCATCACAAATATAGACAGGTGCACACTTGCCTATATGTTGTTAACATGGTCCTATTTTTAGCTCACCTGGCCCAAAGGGCCAAGTGAGCTTTTCTCATCACTTGGCGTCCCTCGTCCGTCGTTGTCGTCCGCCGTCGTTAACTTTTACAAAAATCTTCTCCATATGTTACATATGCTGTATAAGTGTTTTTAAGTAGTTTGGTTATCGAGTTCAATTCAAGTATATAAAAAAGATATCAATATCCATTATATATATATTTAACAGATATTGATATCTTTTAAGTTTGATATTTTTTTTTGGACATGGTATTTATTTCACAAAATCTGGTAATTTTCATTTTTGTAATAACCAATGACTTTGCCATAAACAACTCAGTAGTGTAAGTTGTTGATTTGAAAATCTTATAACATTATTCTGTGGAGTTGCAATACAGAACTCTTTCCATTATATTAATAACGCTTGATTTAAAGAGTTACACAGTATATATGTGTACGAAAATAAAATCAAAATACATGATCATATATATATATGAAACTATTGAGTAATATAAATAATAACAAATGAGCTGTGTCGGATAGAAAACAAACCTTTTGCATATGAATATGAGTACATCTGTTAACCTAGTTTGAGTTGAAAAAATCTCTATGGAAAGTCTGTAACTGTTTGAAAATTGAGTTGTTATAAGAAACTTACAAAACACAAGACCAAATTCATCTTTTATTTCGTATTTGAATGTTCCAAAATCAATTTAAGTCTTATATATGTACATGTAAACTTGCACTTGCATAAGGTTGATTTCTATCTGACGTAGCTCAAATCATACTATATATATATATATATATCTAATACAAATAATTCATCACAGCAATCATAATTAGTGACTGAATAAAATTTAGATGCCAGATTTTTATACTGAAGGGGAAATGAAAACATATGTGTTAGGGCTGTTGAGTTTTTTCAAATTATACTTGCCCATGGAGAAATAATTTTTTTTTCAAAATTAATTGCAACTAAACAGATGTGCTAACTCTTTACTAACATGTAAAATGTTATTTAAAACTACCTACCAATGGGAAGGTTATAAAAATGTTCACTTATCCATCCTAGAAATTTAATTTCTGTTAGTATGATGAAAGCCATTTTATGAAACAATGATTAATATAGAATATTTTATTATGTTTCATAGGTTTCAAGTAGCAGAAAATCTCTTATTTAGTTTTAGACATAGACTTGAGTAATTAAAAATCCATTAATATAATTTGTGTGGAGATAGTGTTAGACCTAGACTTGAGTAATTAAAATTCCATTAATATAATTCTTGTTGAGATAAATAACTATCAGATATCATTGATTTTGAAATCATTTTCAATAAAGTACCATGAAAATTTTGTAAAACAGTCTTTTTATATTTGAATTCAAGTTGTAATTTTTGACAGGTTCTGATGATGAGAGCTCAGAAATAATTGAGCCAACAACACAGCCTATTCCAGTCATTGGACTTGTTATACAGGGATCACCAAGAGGGATAGATCTGGTTCTTTTTTATCTGCGGAATAAAATGCCAATTGTTATTGTCAAAGGAAGTGGTGGATGTGCCGACCTCCTGGCTTATGCAATAGAAGAATCACAAGAAAGGTCTGCAGAAAGTCCATTCATTATTCATAATTTCCCAATTTTCAAATGGCTTCAATCATTTTCAATAGGGCTGTTCCGGGATTTGACGCATGGGGGGCATGTATTATGTGATTGTCTTTGCATAGTAGCAATTTTCATAATCATATGATATGTTCAGATGTGCTGGTAAGCTTTGAAATAAGCAAATGAATTTTGTAAGAATTGTGTAAAGGTTTGTGCTTCTGTATGGTCCAATTAGTCTTCCATCTGGTCTTGTAAGCTCTCTTGTGTGTACAATTTGTACAATTATTTTTTTAATGAAACTTATATTAAATAAAGGTTTATATGAGCATTGCACCCAGACAGGTTGGAAAATCAGTGCCAAAACCTTTTTTTATAGGGGTTATGCCCCTTGGAAATATAAATTATATGGAAAATTGCATTGTAAGCACTCTCAAGCCTACATTTCTTGTAGGATTGTAATGAAATGTCTTAAGTTCTGTATTAATAATGTCTGTTAGAAAACCAGTGCTGATCAATTATTTTTACAGTAGTAATGTCCCTTAGAATTGTAATAAGAATTGAAAATTGCATTGCAAGCGCTTTCAAGTGTAGCGAGATACTTATGGAGTTGGAAAATCAGTGCTGATATATTATTTTTACAGGAGTTGTGTCTTTGAAATGTAATTTATAATGAACATTGCATTGTAAGCACTCTCACACCTACATTTTTTTAGATTTTTGAAGTTTATCTCAAAGGATTATATCAGCAAGGTCTTGTAAGAGTGCAACCATTTTTACAAGAGTTCTGGTCCTTGAAAATAGAATTATATGGAAAAAAACATTATTAGTAATCTAATGCCTACTTTTCTTGTGTTAAATGAAATTATTATCTTTTTATTAGTTATAACCCTTGACAGATAAAATATATGCAAAAAAATGCGGGGATATTGGAATGCTGATCTTGTATTCAATTTATTCCTTTATCCATCTATTTTGAGATAAAAATATTTTTCAGACCAGATGGTGATTACGAAGAACATCATTTAAAACCAGAATTGCTGAAGATGATTGGCCATACCTTTCCTAACACTTTCAAAGAAAATGATTTTGCAAAGAATGTACTGAGAGACAAAATTCTTGAATGTGTGTCCTTAGCCACAGAAGTAAGCTTATTAAAGTACCTTTTTTTATCTCAAATATGGGACAATTTATATTTAGTAGAGATGGGTTAATCATTTGTTTTAGAGTACACAGGCTGAATGTGACTTCTTAAATAGATTGTTAATTGACTTTTTTTTTAGTTCATCCTTTTAATAGTTTTATATTTTTATATCAAACAAAGTCTTTAATCTACATGTTAAAAAAAGCAGGAAAATGTAATATTTAAATATCGTGGATACCAATTTTTTTGTAAATTGAAGAAAATTTGTAGTTTCGTTGATATTTGATTTTGTAATTTTTCCAAAATCTGAATACTAACATATAGTAAATTTGTACTTTATTAAACATTTATATTTGTGGTTCACCTTTACCCACAAACTCCTCGACACTTGATATCCAACGAATAGTAATGTATCCACAGCATCTGGTTTATTGTGTAGGATTATATGTATAGTACCTGTGTATCCTTGTTTCAGGATGAGCGGACATTTGTGACAATACTAAATACCCAAGGTTGGGATGCAAATTTAGCAGATCTAGACAAGTATTTACTGAAAGCTTTATTTAAATGTAAGTTTGTCTGTAAATGTTTATAATCAGGAGTTGATTTTTTTTTACCAAGTCCTGGTAAAGATTGAAGCCATACTTGCATCACCAAAAATTGATGAAAGCTAATTTCATTTTTGCAATTTATATATTGAAATATCTGCTGAAAGTGGGAACATCTCTTTCCAACTTGCTTGATATTTTTGTAATTGTTTCTCTCAGTCAGTGTTACAATTGCTTTTGGAAGACATTGTTGAAGGCCCTACTGTGACCTATAGTTGTTAACTTCTACGTCATTTGGTCTGATGGAGAGTTGTCTTATTGGCAATCATACTACATCTTCAAATTTTTATATTGTTAACTGTCCTTTGTAACTTATTCTTAATTGTTTTATCCTGAACTTGCCACAACATGTGCTCAACCACCACACTGAGAAATGGATTCATTGTTCTGATCATGATGTGTGATATTTTTTAACACCTGCTTTTTCATGTTTTAACATTAAAACAATGGTATCAAGTGTTTGCTATTTCTCTCTAATCAACAAGGTACCAGTCCCTGTGTTTGACTTTTGCAATTGGAAAAAATAATACTGCAGTCCCTCAACTGTTTTTGCAACAATAAAAAAGAATGGCTTGGAAAATTTAAACTTTACAAATTTGTTTTAGCAAATTATTTAAGTTACTTAAGACATTTACTTTTGGAAAGTCTTAAAGCATTTCTTTTTGTTTTGAATAATTTGTTATGTACTTATAGGTGAAATAAAGAGTAACTCTAGGTGGAGAGAAAGAGCCTACAAAGACTTGACTCTCTTACTCGACTGGAACAGACCAGATTTAGCTCAGACAGAGATATTTTCATCAAGAGATTTCTCAAGAATTAAGGTATGCAAAAGCTAATTAACGCATTAGAATAAGGATTGATAATTGATATGCTGTCACTGCTCAAGGACCAGCTACCGTCAGGGACCAATAACTATCAACTGGCATTATAAATAATGATTTAAATTCTCATAAACATGCAGTGTCAGATAAGGGAAATCCTTTAAAACAATTGCTCTCTTTGATATAGCTGCAAATCAACCAAATAGTTTTTATACAACTGCAAATTTTTGGAATGTATAATGCTATGGCATTGAGGTCATAGTCGTCGTCTGAAGACATTTGGGTTCTAGACAATAACTTGAGTATATTAGTGAATGGATCACTATGAAATTATAACACAAGGTTCCATACCACAAAAGGAAGGTTGGGATTGATTTATTTATGTTGTGGGTTATTGTCTTTTATTGTTTAGGAATAAAGGACCACAAACAAGCATTTTTCTTGTTTCAGGACAATAAATTGTGTATAATTTTATTTATGACCATACCATTACCTTTTTAAACATCCCTCCTTGAGGAGGGGGAGGGGGAAATATAGTGATTCACATGTCTATATTTGATGCATTTGGCTTCTGTTAATCAGACATTGTTAAGAATTTTCCAAAATCTTCTATGAAACTATTTGTTACTAAACTTTGTCAGAATCCCATGTAGGATTCTTATGAGATTGTTCTCCTAAAACCAAGTAATTTTAACCACGGAAATTAAGTTTGAAATAACCGACAATGCCATGGGAAAAACCAAAACAGAACCAAAAGACAAACAACAGTATACAAAACACAACATTGAAAACTAAGATTGAGCAACATAAAGGCCATGAAAAATTTGGGTCGCTCTTAGATGCTTGGGAAGGGTAAGCAGATGGTACTCCACATGTGGCAACCGTCTTGCTAAAATTCACTCTTTACCATGGTATGTAGACAATTTTCATTTATGATCAATAATAACATATTTTAATTACAATTAATTGTGGATGAATTGAAATGAGAATGTTTTTGATTATTTCAGGTAGACAAGACATTGTTTGAGAAGTCCCTAATAAAGACTGACAGGGAAGAATTTGTTTCTTTATTTCTAGATCAAGGATTCCAAATTCACAAATATTTGAACCACAAGCATCTGAAGTATTTATTTGATAAGGCTGATGACTCAGAATTCTTTACAACAGTTTGTCTGGAAGGAGTACTTGGAAAGACTCATATAGTAAGAGACTATTACAGCTGATTTATTTTAGTCTCTACAAGAGAGTCTGGATTGGAGGGTCCTTCATTTCTTTATTCTTAAAATTTGTAGGCCAATTTTCTCAATTTTTATGTCCCATGCTGCACTGGAAGGAGCATTAAATGTTACCCTTGTCTGTCCATCGGTACGCATGTCCCAAATTTGTTTTCAATCTCCAACTTTAGTTTGCCTCAACCAAATGTTATGAAACCTATACACAATGCTTATCATTGAGTTATGTCCCTTTATAATGTTATGTGCAAGCAGGGGCATCATCTGTGTCCCATGGACACATTCTCCATTTTTTTTGCTTAATTCTCTCTATTCTTTGTTGTTTCTATCCTTTATTCTGCATGCCTTTCTCACTATTCTCTATTCTTAAAACCCCATCCAGCCCCTCATACAAAGTACGCTAAATCAACGGAGTAGGGGCATTGAGGCCCCGGTTTTGGCCCAAGAAAAGTTTTTGAGAACTATTTCAAATTTGCACATATTATTTAGAAATGCATAAATTCAAGAAATATAAATGAATTAAGTAAGATTTTTGATGTTATGAAGTCACAATAACGTCACAAAATGCACCAATTTCACTAATTTCACAAAAACAAAGAAAATTACTAAATTTATGCAGTTTTCCGTCATTATTTTCTTTATGGAAACATCGTGCGCAGGCAAACAACAATAAAATAATTTAAGCTTTATTATAAATATTGACATATTCTAACTGAATATAAAGTTGTTTTGGGTGCGCACATACTTTTCCAATCTAATATATACCTAGCAGTTGACGTAAAACAAGGAAAATCAAGAAATTTTACAAAATATACACATTTTGTCATAGTTTGTTGCCATGGGAACTTGTTGATGTGAAATTTGTTTTTATTTTCTGAACACCTTGTACCTTAGTGTAGTATGGACAAAGTTAAGAATATGTTTGTTAACTTTTCAATTTGCACTAATATTTGGGTCAAGGGCCTTATTGCCCCAACTCCTTTGCTTATTTGTTAGTTTGACCCTGAAATTAATATGACCTTTGTTTTGATACTTCCTATAGCTATTAATAAAGCAACGTTTTTTCATTATTATCCTTTGATATTTGTATAAAGATCCAGTTTGACCCTGACCTTTTCTTTATTAATAGCTAGCAAAGAAATTCATGGTTCATCAACTTGATTTTATGTATTAACTCCACCCTCAATTGATTTAGCTGTAATTTTGGAGGTTATAATTTGAAGTTATATAAGCAGAGACATTTTTTCTAACCTGACCTTTTAAGTTGGCTGAGTAGTGTCATCCCTTGGTTTCCATTTCCTATAAATGTTTTACAATTTTTATCTTCTGTTAATTATAAGTTGAAGAGATGAATGAAAGGTCTTCTCATTTGACTATGATTGAATAAAAAACATGGTCCCCAGAGACCATCTTTGATTCTGATTGGCCAGTTTTATTTTAACACTAAGGTAAAATGATTTTAAACTTTCTGGGATTGAAGATTGACAGATCCTTTTAAAACAATCTTCATTTCATATTGATCAGGTAGTAATTGGTGGCTTTTGTGGCACCTAGAATTCATTAAATCCTAATGGAAAATCACTTTTTATCATTTTCACTGAAATTTCTTGACCAAATTTACTTTATCTTGGAAGGTCTTCCACAAACACCCTCATTTGGTGTCGATCCAATGAAAATCATGGTCACCAGAAACATCTTTTGAGTCAGATTGGCTAGTTTTCAACAAATATTCTCTGAAACTACAAAGCAAAGTATTTCGTAATTTTAGAGGATTGATGGTCAGATCATCATTTGCAAGTTTTCCTTATTAAATGGTGATTGGATGACAAACATGGCAGTATAGAAACCATGTGAAAAATCAATCTTCAATAATAAGAACTCCCATTCTGATATCTGCAATTTTTTTGGAAATCGCAGTATTTAATAAATGCATGCAATAAATTCTGAATTTATAGTAAACAACAAAAAGTTCCGATTTTTTGCCAATTAGACAAAAAACATGGATTGCTGAGGCAAAGTCTGAATCATGAGAGGCCAATTTTCAAAAACTTTCTTTGAAACAAAAAAGTTAAAATGGTGTTTAACTTTAAGGTAATTGTTGAAAAATAAGCCATTCTTGGAAAAGTTTGTCAGAACTGTTTCTTGTTGTGAGGAATTATAGGTTATAAAGAACCAATTTCACTTTGACAAAATATGGCCTGGAATTTCAACTCAATTGTAAAGAAAGGCCACAATTTTTTTCTTAAAACCTTTCAACAGCCTAAATGCTAAGTGGAAACAAATTTATGAATTTATCTTCAAAAGAGTACATTATAGGCTTTAAATTCAGCACAGTTAGGAGAAGTTGCCATAACAAGATCATTTTGTGCATTTTTCTCTGCAACTTCAAATGTAATATATTCTTCAATTTTGCTATTATATAGTTTTAGGATTTTAATATTGTGTAATAGACGTCAGTATAACACATTGTACTAATTGAAATTGTACTTATTTCTTTATAGATCTCAGATCAGCCTTTGCCACAGGATTTTTTAGTGAATGATTTAAACAAACTTGTAGCAAAGTTGTCAGGAATAAAGGACTTCGTTCAGCCTTATGAATTATCTATGAACTCTGTTGAGCTATATGTGTTGGATCCAGTGGTTGCTGAAAGAAAGGTAAAATGCATGCATACATGAAAAAAAGAAATATAGGTTGGAAGGAGAAACTTTGAAAATACAGCAATTTAAAAAGAAATAAACTTCTGAGGTGCTATTAGAAATATTCATACACTTTTTATCTCACATATTTTAACAGATGCATCAGAGTATTTAGATGGGTCTTGTCTATCATTTTTATCTAAGAAAGTTGAAATTTTATTTTATGACTGGATATAATGTTTATATTACATAACACCAAAACTTTTTCAAAATTTTACTGCATATGGAAATTAATAAAAAAATGATTTTGTAATTAATTGTTTAGATAACAATATTATTTTGTAAGTATTTTTCCACCGGCAATGGACATTTGAGCGATTTAAAAAGGATGTTTGAGCACCAAAGTTTAGGACATTTGAGCGTCGAAATTTTAGGACATTTGAGTGAAAATGAAAAATAAGCATAGGACATTTGAGAGAAAAAATTTGAAAATGATGAAGGAATACCTCTTCCGTTTGCCAGATGTAATCTGTTACCCATGCTCACCAAGGGGAGGTGGAAGTAGGATTTGGAGCAGGATAAAACATCTAGTTTTAAAATGTGGAGTTTAAATAAAATTGAGTATGGAAACATATTTCAATAGTAAAATATAAAGTCATAAAACTGAAAACTCGACAATGGCATTATTTTCAAGTCAGATCGGGCTTGAAATTTATTTCAGGCTTCTGACATTAAAAACCCCTCGTTATTTCCTGCTGGCGGTACCGTGAATGAAAGTCCAGGAGATTCTGTTCCTTCTCTTTGTCTGTTTGGCTATGAAAAAAAAAATCAAATGAAATATATTTAAAAAACTTTCTCTTTTTTCTTACTTTTTAAAGATATATTTTCTTAACTCATATAAAAGTATCACAATAAATTTTGCTCAAATGTCCTATTTGAAAATCCAGGTAAGGTTAATATTCCGGCGCTAAAAGCCCCTGATGAAATTTGAATAAAATCAGTTAATGCAGTGCTTTCTATTGTAATATAGATTGTATCACTATATTATAGGCTATAAATTGTCTCATTATATGGGCAGTTTTGTTTAGTCGACCTAAACTAGCAAAAGTCCTGTGGTATAGATGTGATGAACCAATTCCTGTGGCTCTGATCTGTAGTAATATGTACAGAGAATTGTCAAAATGTTCAATGGAACTTTATCAACGTACTGAAATGGAGGCTTGTGCAAAGTATGTATAAAATACCAAGACAATTAATGTATTGATGTAAATACTTAACTTAGAGTAATATAAAATAGAAAATAACTGCTTTTAAAACATAAGTAATCAGTCCTAAAAACATCTATTAGACCAGGTTGCGAGAATTGCGAAACTGGCATATTGTATGGCATGTCAGGGGGACTGGGAATAGGGGAACCTTTGTCATGTAATCAACTCCTCCTACAGTTTTCTACCAAAATCCCTAAAAATTTCACACATATTGAAATTGTGCGCCTGTTGTTGTTAGATTGAGTTTTTTTTTTGTAGTTTTCCAGACCCGGAAACTTTTTTAGTTTTCAGCAAAAACAACACACTAATTTTGTGTACACAACTCCTTCAGTTTTCAATGTAGATCCTTAAAACTTCTAAGAAAGAATTGTTATGCACTTCCCATTATAGCGATTTTTTTCACATTTTTTGCCCTTTATATTTCAATATATGTAAATGTTTTTTATAGACTATTCTCAATTGTTTCAGGAACATTCTGTCCAACATGGCCATTTTGCTTGATATGCAGAACAAATAGATTTAAAAGCCTCATATTAAAACTGGCTAAAAAGTGTGGGAAAAAGTACCTGTTATAAAAGTGAACAAAAACATTGTTACGTTATTATAAAAATCATTAAATATTTTGAAAAACATTTCCCCCTTATTGCTTTGTGATCCATCTTAAATAAAACAAGCTCATGTAGATTTCACATCATATTTTCTATAAGAATAGCATTGACAATTAAAAGTGGCAGTCACATGTGTTCAAAATTGTGATTATTTGTTTGGTGGCATGAATCTTTTGATATGTAAAGGTTTGTCATGTTAAAAATGACAACCACAGTGGTCTTGTGGTCTAATTAGTTCATCTTCTGTATCTCTAGCCTGTTAACACTGAGGTTTTGAGTTCGAACCCCACATGTGGCAGGTGTGTTTGACTCCAATCATAGTTTACTAGGATTGTCAGTTTTCCTGCAGAAGGTTGTTAGTTCTTCCTTGTCACTCTGGTTTTCTCAGATTAATAAAAACTGACCGCCATGATAAAGCCAATAGTTCTGAAAGTGGTGTAAAACCCCAACAGCCAATCAGTCAATCATCCTATAAATGATCAACCTCTATTTCAAATTGAGAGGTAAATTGAAAATTTTCTTTAGAAAAGTCTGAATTAGGACATTATCTAGCTGAAAAGCATAACATCCAGTTTTGAAATCTGATATAGCAATGTATAGTATTGATTCTCACTTTTTAAGTTGTATGTCTATCAACTCATTTAACACTAATATAATTTCAACTGAATCATATAAAAAAAAGTCAAAAGACAAATTAAAAATTACATATTAAGCAATGGAAAAATTGGATCTGACAGATGAAATAAACATTTAAGAAAGAGAAGACTAACAATAAGAAAAACATGAGAAATTTAGATAACTCTTTAAATACCAAAACATTTTTTTGTAATTTTCATACCTTTTAAGAAAAAACAAGATGTTGGGTAAATGTCAATGAGACAGCAACCCAATGGCTCAAACAAAAGACATTTAGTGGTCAACATACAATATTTAACCATAGATAGGTGTTTATTCAATAAATCAAACTCTTTAAGTCCCTCTGAGTTTAAAAAAAATATGTGAATGATTTAAGTACAAACTATCAAATCAAAGATCTGCCCCATCAACACCAATACTCCAAATAACAAAAGCATTATATATGGTATTTATAGATTATTGATGGTTCTTCAAACAAGATGGTGTTTCTCAGCTAGAATCTGAGTTCATACATTAATTCTCTTTCTACATGACTGAGAAAAATCTGTATCACTAGGATAGTGTGAAATGAAAAATTATCACAAAAAAAGATCCAAGCAAACTTTTAAGAAATAGTGATAAAATACATTAACCTTGTTAATTTGTTTTCAGAGAATTTGGAACAATGGCTCTAGGAGTGTTAGATATAAGCTACAGTGATGTCAGTGCACAAGCATATGCTATGCTAAGTAAACCCTTACCAGATTTTAACAATAAGAGTGCTATAGAAATTGCCTATGATGCAAACTATGGGAGCTTTATTGCACATCCCTGTTGTCAGAAGTGGTTAACAAAAAAACTGTTTGGGTCTATTCAAGTGAAAGAATTGGACTTTGGGATTTGTAGACTGCCATACTGGTTCAAGGTAAACTAGGGTTCACAGATAATTATTTATTATATATGCATACACAATAAAAAAAAATTCCAAGAAGGCTGGTTGCCTCCCGTGACTCACTGCAATAATGAATGATCTATGAATTATTAGAAATATATTATTTACTTAACTGGTAACTTATTCTGTCCATCTTGAATTTATTTTATGATTATTTGTTACTAAAGAATGGCATAGAAAAGAATATATTGATCTGTAACAAAGAAAATAGTAATTAACAAATGGCAAAAAATATTGTAGGAATGCAAGCCACAAAAACTTCTTTCTAGACTCTCACCCTTTCTCTCTTTTTGATAAAAAAAGAAAAACCACCTCGTTTATCTCATGTTACTTTGCCTACCTAGAGTGACAGAGTCATAGGTTTGAGTCCTGGCCAGGTCAAACAAAACAAAATCAAAATGTCTCAGCCAAGAAAACAGTATTTAAGAGTAAATGTAAAGACTGATTGGCTCGGTGTTAGAAAACTGTTTCTGAGTAGGATTATATATAAAAATATTTAGATGTGGTTATGATTGCCAATGAGACAACTGTTCACCAGAGTTCAAATGACGTGGATGTATATGTTTTCCTGTCGAATGTTACCTAAGGGCTATTCCATTAAAATGTATGTGGGAGGGTAGGAAGGGAAGTTTAATTATTGAATGTGGGTCATGGGTCTTTTTTCAGTATGTGTCTATTACCATTATGCAAAATTATCTAAAAAATGGTTCTTGGTTGTAGGGATATTTTGAAAGTCCCTTCCTACCCTCCCACATACATTTTAATGGAAGAGCCCTAATGAGCTAGGATGTCAGAAATTCAACTAAATATGGCAGTTTAGTACAAAGTAAGGTATATCTATCTCATTTACTGTGGATTCATTGTTTTTCCTTGGGTACAAATTGTTTATGGATAACCTTGGTATAGACGAACCAGGAATTTATATGTTCAACAAAACTCCTAATAGGTTTGTATGCAAATTTAGCAAAACCAAGATATTACAATTTTTTTTCAATTGGTACCCAAGAAAATAAATGAATATTCAGTACATTATGGTCTTGAATATGCATAAAATATTTGCTGCTGGATGTTCAGCAGTTATCAATTACTCAAGCAGTCAAAGAGAAGTACCTGTCCCCTACTATGATTCTGAGAAGCTTTATATAGAAATAAGAAGATATGGTATGATTGCCAATGAGACAACTCTTCACCAGAGACTAAATGACGTAGAAGTTAACAACTGTATGGCCATCAACAGTGAGCAAGACCCACACTGCATAGTAAGCTATAAATGGCCCCAAAATGACAAATATAAAAGAACTAGCCCTTATACATGGCAGCTGTTCATTTTCAATACTTTTGCTTAGCAAGGATATTTTATTTTTCAGATTCTTTCTAGTGTTTTTTTCTTCTTCCCGATGTTCTTTTGGATTGTGTTTGGGAGATCTGCTGGATACAAGAACAAAGGACTTACAATGAATGGTAAATTTTTAAGGAGAAGAGCCAGGAAAGGCTAAAGACTTAACATACTCGAATACCTATATTTATGAAATAAAATACTGCAGATTCAGAAATTATTGCACTGTTTATATAATGATAATTTCTGATTTAACAGGGCAATGAGAACTTCAAAAGAATATAATACCAGTTTTTAATAGAAATTTCATGTTTTTATGTTAATTTTATCTTCTGAGAAAAAATTGGCCCCACCTTTTAACGATAAAAATATATATAGATGAATACACAGCATAACAAAAATTTATGTTGGTCCATGCATCTGGCCTATGTTGTTAGAAACATGCTGGTTTTTTTGTTTTTTTTTTTGTATTTCTCAGATAGTTTTATACATGTTTTCATCAAATGTGTATGAAATTAACTGAACTTTGATTTCAAGGAATTTAAGGGCCAATATTGACCACTCCTTTGCTTTGTTTTCAAAGTCTTGTTGACAAATATTAATTTAAATATTTAAATGATATCAACCCATTATTGTTGGTCTTTCTAATTGCTAATGGGTTAAACTGTTTTTTTTTTTTTTTTCAAAACGTTATATATAAACTCATTCTACTAAACTGATCAACCAGTAAAACATTTTAGCCCTTTGCAAGACAAAGATCTAAGCAAGAATAAAACAATTATGATATTACACATATTAGTATGAACAATGCCAGAGCAGATTCAAGGTTTATTGTAAATAATGGTATAAGGCGGAAAGCGTAGTGAGGCAAACATTTTTAAGCAAAAAAAAAAAAAAAAAATTCCTGAATTGGCCTCTGATGCTGTTCTACCAGTATAAAAATATATTATATTTGTTGCAATGAAATGCTCTGATTTCCAAATCAAATATAAAATTTCACTCATCTGAGGTCATATAACAAAAGGTGGTAAAAACGCTTGGGGAAAAAATATAGTTCCTTTCATTTTCTTCTTTATTTAAATAATTTGGCCTGAAGAAATTGTTTGAACAAACAGCAATCGGAAATGGCAAAGCTTTTTCTTTATCAGAGTAACATTCTGCATACAAAGTCCTTCTTTGAAAAGTCTATTCTATATACTATAAGTTGAAAAGAGTTTCTTGTCTTACATATTTAATGGTTTTTTAATTGTCTTTGAAAACAATAAGAAAAACAAGCTATATCATTGTTCTGATGAAAACAATCAACGTTTCTCAACATATATTTATTATATTTTAATGAAAAAACTTTTTCTTTGTATATATGTATCAATGTTTGCTTTCTAGGTTAAAAAAATGCTGAAAAGTATATAAACAAAACTTTGAAAAAGTAAATTATAAAAATGTTATTTTTTTTCTTAAATAAAAGTTTCATCAATTAAGGGAAATATTTGTGTTTATTTTGAAGATTTGTTCTTGGTAGAAGATGATATCTCAGACAGTGCATCATCTGATGAAGAGACCATTTTACCATTTACTAGATCAGGATTGGTAAAAGAATTAAATGGTGTAAGTGACCACTTTTAAGTGACAGTGAAAATGTATAATTGGGGGGGGGGGGGGGGGTCTGGATTTGAAAGAGGGGGATGGGAAGTGAATTCTGTAGGCTTTTTTTTTTTGGTTTTATCAACTCTTCAACATTTGTATTAAGTTTTAGATTTTCAAATATTTTTGCCTTGAGCATCACTGATCAGACATTAATTGTTGAAATGTGGATCTGGTGCAGCAAATTACTTATGATTAATGTTATTTTTATTATAAAGATATAAGAAGATGTGGTATGAGTGCCAATGAGACAACTCTCCATCCAAGTCACAATTTGTAAAAGTAAACCATTATAGGTCAAAGTACGGCCTTCAACACGGAGCCTTGGCTCACACCGAACAGCAAGCTATAAAGGGCCCCTAAAATTACTAGTGTAAAACCATTCAAACAGGTAAACCAACGGTCTAATCTATATATAAAAAAACGAGAAACACTTATGAACCACATTAACAAACGACAACCACTGAACATCAGGTTATAACTTCATTTGAGGACCTATCAGCATCTCTCCTTTTCAGAAAGAGAAAGTGAATTTTCTGATTTTCTAGAAACAATAAACTAATACCTACTGAATGACAGGCTCCTAACAAAATAACAAGTAAAATCAATTTTTACATTCATAAAACAAAAGAACAACTATGTAAATCATTACTTGAGTTCACAAAATAGAATTACTGCTGATGAAATCATCATTTGATATAAAAATAAGGAGATGTTGTATGATTGCAAATGAGAAAACTATCCACCAAAGTTCAAATGACGTGGATGTAAGCAATTATAAGCAACTTTACTGCCTTCAACAATGAGAAAAACCCATACTGTATAGTCGACTATAAAAGGCCCAGACATGAAAAATATGAAACAATTCAGTTGAGAAACTAATGGTCTAATTTATAACAGAACAATTACGAAAAACAGATATGACAGACATGAACCAATGACATCCACTGAACTACAGGCTCCTGACTTGGGACAGGCACATAAAGAATGTGGCAGGGTTAAACATGTTTGTGCATGCTCAACCTTCCCCCTAACCTGAGGCAGTGGTGTAACAGTACCAACATAAGAACAAACTATTTAGATCAGTTGAAAAGGACTCAAATCATCAGAATGATACAAAGCAGAAAAACATCTAACACACAAATACAGATCTGAGAGTACTCAAAGTTACTGACAGCGAGTTCATTAAATAAATTTACTACTGAGTAAATCATTTCTTGAGTTCACAAATAAAAGTACTACTGAGTAATTCAAACTTGAGTTTTGTTTCAATTATCAGATTTCAAAGAAATGCCATGGATTTAGAAACTTTTCTGAAAGTTTTAATCTTCTATATAGTTCTTTCAATTCAATGGATAAATACATCATCCATAATTTTGGTAGATGGCTAAATTAAATGAATTACTGATTGAATTGGTTGTCCTGAACATGCATGGAATATTTGCCACTGGATGTTGAGCAACCAACAATCAATCAATCAATCTGATTGAATTTAAGCTTTGTTAAATTAATCCATTTTTTAGGAGGGGAGGGGTGTATATAGCAATTATTGGAACACATTCTTCACAACTCTTGTCCTATGTTGTAAAGACTAAAGACTATTACACATATATAGTATTAATTCTATCAGACTCTTAAAATAAGATAATTATTTGTACCTTGACTATTTATTTAAAGATGAAACGAAAATCATTAAAGAACAAAATTAGTGGTGCTTTAAGATCGAAGAGACATAGAAAATTGCCAGTATGGAAACAAATGAATTTATTATGGACTGCACCTATTACCAAATTTTGGATTACACAGGTGAGTTATGAAATACAGTAGAGCAGAACATTAATTTCTCAAACACTTGAAGCATCAAAAATTTGTTGTTATTGTAAGAGGTTGTACAAAATTTAGGATTTTATAGTTTATGTAGTAGAGAATTGATAAGAAGTAGTGGATTCGGAAACGATAATCAACTTGCGACTAAAGTCGCTCGTTGATTATCGTTTCCGAATCCACTACTTCTTATCAATTCTCTAGCTTAACCCATTTCTAGTAAAACGACTGTCTGTTTTACGTTTTGACAATGAATCAACAATATTTCATAAAAAAGTTTGGTATTTTGTCTTTTTTATTCTATAATAGCTGGAAATGAATATATCCACACGGTTCGCATCTATATTTAGACATTTGACAAGTTAACATAAGTTTAATATAACTTAAATGGGGTGTTAGCTCCCCTTTTTAATACCAGATTTTATTTTTGTATATACATATTTCATTTAATCTTTAATCATTACAAATTATTTAAATTAAATAGATTTTGGTATATTTAATTTATTCGAAAAGACATATATTGATATACAGAATTTATTTATCTTGTTTTGAAAAGTTAAAAAATTTTAATTACCAAAATTTAGAATCTTCAAAATTTATATATATAATATTTAGCAACGTGATTTGGTATAATTAAATCGTAACACCATTATGTCGTTCTTAGTCAATTAAATATTATAAGCGTATATGCCATAAATCTGACATTTCATAATTCATATTGCTGTTTAAAGTATTAAAATTATGTGCTTACGATTTAAATTGAACAATTATATTTAAATTTTGTTTAAACTGTTTCCGTTTCATTTAAGTTAAGATTATTTTAGCGTTATTACATTTGGCATATATCGTTCACCGGTCAGTAAAATAGTTTTATCTGTGGTACGCATTCTGAATCCACATCAGAATTGCTCTTGCTACGGATGTACAATGAAAAATTATGTTGATTTCATAAACTTACCATCAAGCTGTTCATAGCCGTGATCGTCTAGTCGTTTATAACGAATGTCATAACGGTGATATTAACAGTGCAAAGTTCGAACCTTGTACCCGGAATGAATTTTTTTCATTGTAATTTTTTTTTCTGGACCAAAATATTGTTTTAATCCTAGAACATGTAGAAGTATCATATATTTCATTTTCATATAATGGCGATGATTTTGTTTCTGTTTTTATTGTCAAAGAAGTAGTTTTAACCCATTTCTTAAAAAAAAATAACACCCAAAATAAAACAAATTCAATAAACATGAACAAACCAAGATATATATATTTCATTAGATTACAATGAGACAGAAATACAGTTAAATGACATGTTTTGACAAGTAAGCGCTTTAAGAGTACTATTTATATAATGATTGATGTCAGCCATCGTGGTCTAGTGGTATCATGCATAGACTGAAGACTGTATTGATTACGAAGAAAATACGCGCGGGTTCGAATCCTACAGATGCCACTCGTTTTTGAGAGGATAAAAGATCGTAAGTTAAAAGGTTAAAGTTATAATATAAGTTCTCTTAAGTTAATACTATGGTCAGTGGATTCTTGAAAAATAATCTACAGTCAGAACAATAGACTGACGTCAGAGAAATGGGTTAAAAATTACACTTCAGGAAATAAAATTTGTTGTTTCAAAAATCCAACTTTTAGTGGTTGAGTTAACAAAGTTAAAAAGATCAAAAGGTTCAAATAAGGCCATTGTTTTAGCCACTTGAATATTTTGAAATTCCAAATATTCACTGGTGGAGTTTTCTCCTTGGCAATCATACAACATCTTATTTTTATATTGGCCATAGAATTAAAGGAAAATTGACATCTGACATATGATAGTAGTTCTAGTGATAAACAAAATATGATTGAGATCTAAGGCAAAAAAAACAACAAAAAAACACACAGATGAGACAAAAAAAGAAGCTCAAAGAAACTTAGAAACAGGTTTTCAAAAATTAAGTAAAATATCAGTAGAATGGAGTTTTGTGAATAAGTTGAATTATCGAAGTAAGCTAAGTCCTTACTTTCTCAATGTAACATACACTTTCATACTACAAAAAAATCACTACCATTTTTTTATTATGATTTTTCCAAGCAATGGCTCACAAAAACAATAAACCATGCGAGTATTTGCATGAAAATCATTTTAATTCTTAAAAAAATAAGTAACCTCTGAAATTTCTTTTTTTTTTTCAGATGTTTTATTTCATATATTTGGGTATATTCTGCTTGGCAGTACTGTGGCCAACCTGTGGAAACCTATATTTAGATACGGTTGTGTGGGTCTGGACTTTAATTATGCTTACAGAATTAATAAGACATACATATGTCAAGCACCAGGTAATGAATTGATTGTTGTTCATCATAATTTTGTTTAATGGTGAGGAATATTTTCTATTTTTTTTTTAATTGTAAAATCTTGAGGTCAAATTTTAAAGTTCTCCTACCTTCTACCTAGAACTTGTTTATAATTTAGGTCAAAGAGCTCTTTATGGGAATTGCACCAGTAGCCAAAATATATCCATACAACGTCTTTCAGAACATGAAAAAGATCTTTGACAATTTTTACTTTATCTTTTAACACATTTTGGAAAGATTGCAATGTTTGCAAATATTAAGGCACCGTCCTCTGAAACAAAGTGCAGAGCACATCTACTATTTGTACTTTTATCGGCAATGTCAGAAATCTTTTTTTTTCTTTTCAGAGACATAAAAGCATGTTATCGATGTGGAGCTGTGTGGAAATTTTAATTATGTTTGTTTTTATCGTGTCCTACCTGTTTCTGAGGATAATGCCACAGTGGATCAATTATTCTGATATCTATGTTTCCAAGACTGTACTCAGCATGGGCTTGATATTTTTTTTCTATCGATTGCCACATGTATATTTACCTATGAGTCCAACTCTTGGACCAATGCTTGTAAGGATGAACAGGATGGTAAGAATATTTTTATGTCCCTGCCACAAAGTGGTCGTGGCCATATAGTTTTACCCTTAACCATCACTCTGTCATTCTGCAACGAACAGTTATATGGACATTTTCCTATACGCCTTCACATATATAAAGCTGATTTTCAGTATGTGAGTCTACTATGATGAGTTACAGATCAAGTTTACATTTAGTTCCACTCTGCTGATTTTTGCAAAGTTAACGGACTTTGGACTTTGAAATTTTTTTGAAAATAACAGTTATACAGCCTTTTTTTCTAACAAGAATTAGAAATTTAAGTTTGAGCCCCCCTGACCAAAAATCCTGGATCCACCCATGTTATAATATGTATTTTCCTAAGTTGAGGTCTATCCTGCAATGTGTTATGAAATTGCAACATTTCTATTGGCTATTCTTTAGGTCAATGATCACAATTCCCCCTTGGCAACCAATTTTGTGATTCATTAATAATATACAAAAGACTCGCATGTTTCACCTGAAAAATATTCTTTTTTGTCAAATTTAATTTCATTCTGAACCATACAAAAACCTTAAAAATGTGTATAGGTGAAAAATATTTCACAAGAAAAACATTAATTTCTATAAAAGAGATAGCTATAACAACTTGTGAGAATTGGATATGGCTTGATATCAACTGTTATTATTTTTAAATTCAATGATAATGATAAACTCGCCATAGGCTCATTTATTATTACATGTATATTAACATTAAATAACTCATGTTGATATCAAGTGATATACAATTCTCACTTAATGTATGTGTAGCCCATAATTCTTTCTCATATGTAAGACCCCTTCAATCTAACTTAAATCAAGCAAAATTTATTTGTGCCTTTCCCAAGTTAAGTTACAATGGTTGTCTTCATTAGTTTAAAAATACAATACAAATTTTGTTCTCCAAATTTTTGTTGGCTCAAATATTTTTTTCAAAAATGAATTTTAGAGATAGAAGAACACACAGTTATGAATCAGTGGAAAACAATAAATCTTGTTGGATATACGGTGGATTCATTAATATTCGTTGGATATCAATTTTCGTGGATTTTGTGAGTACAGTGGAACCATGAATTTAAATGTTCAAAGAATTACAAATTTTCTAAAGGAATGTATGCAGGCTTGGCCAAAACCACGAAATTAAATATCCACGAATGTGCAAGTTTTCATCAAATCACAAAAATTAATACCCATGAAAATAAATGAATCCACAGTAGTTATTTGTGGATATGTGAAAACTAAGAAATCCACGAACATTTGTTGCCAAGTAACAGTATGGTCACAGTAAACTAAAAAAAAGTTTAAAAAAAAAAAAAAAAAAACACTAAAAAGAATTACACTTAGATTCAAACACTTGCAGAAAAGAAATATGTTGTTATATTTTTTAATTTCAGATAAGAGTTGACTTTGTGTCTTTTGTAAGAATGTTCCTGATTTTCATGATATCAGGTGGTGTAACCATACAGGCAATTCTGTATCCAAACTTCCCTCTAGGAGTTGAACTAATAAAGAAGGTTCTAACCAGACCCCTGTTTGCTATGTTCCTGACACAGATTCATGACTTGGATGGTAATAATTAAAAAAAAGATTTATAAGAGTTAAACAGGTGTATGGAGGATTATCAGTCATTTAATTTTTTTTTATGAGTCATAAGCACTAAGTTCAGGCTAGGTGATTTCTTTAAAAAGATAAATAACTCCATCAACAACTTTCCAACATGGTTAATTGATCTCTATCAATATAACAAGCCATTAATTCATGCAAGATATTCATTGTAAAGTTATAAAAAATTGGTTACTGAAACCCTTTAGAGCTATGATGTTTAGCATGGTTAGAGAGACCTCTTTGTGTCAGTTTTCTGTCTATTTTTTATCTGGTCGTTTCCACTGACACAAAAGACTAGCTATAACTTGAAAATGATGAGTATTAGCTTGATTTCCAACTATTGATGTATGCACTCATTATTAAACATTGCAGATTAATATGCAAAAATTTACTTACAGTTACCCTTAACAAACAAAATAGAGGATTGAAGGCTTAAATAATGGTTTAATTTAAAAAACTAATATATATTACAGGTACATGACTACTATATATGATGATTTAATGAAGATACACAAGAAGCCAAAAAGCTGGCTAGTTGTTTACTCAGGGGGTGGCACTTACTATGTTATGAGTGGTATTGATGTGGCACTGCAGTAGTCACCTTTTCAAACTTAATAATATATGATAAGGTTAAGAAATTATGATGAAATATATCGTAAGGTTGCTGATTGAATCATAAATATCTGAGACCAATCACATTTCAATATTTTTCACAGATGCGATTAAAATCAAATTCGTAAATGCATCAGATATTTGTCAAATCTATTTATCTCTTCATGAAATAGCGTTATCATGATAGCTACAGGTGTAATTTTTGTCAAAAAATATATATGAAAGGATATGTATTTTTGTTATTCAAAATATATCATATGTGACCAGGTTGTTACTTGATGTCTCAGCTGCTCATCCCTACCATAAAAGGATTGAAGTACTGCCTGAGAATGAATAACAGATAATTATCTACAATGGATAACAGATTATCCAGAACAAATTACGTATAATTATCCAGTCCAGATAGCAATCATACTCTTTATAAATAGTGTGCTACTGTTAAATCTTTCATTCTGCCTCTAAAGAAGGTCAATGAATGACCAAACAGGTCAGGCTATGAATCATCACAAGCTACAGTGTTTTGGTATTACTTGTTTTTTATTATCGTATTTATGGAAAACTAGTGTCTTTAGTGTAAGAATTCCCTTTCTTCAATAATTGTATATTTTGTACATGTATTTAAAGGCATATATTTATTTGTAGGAGATCCTGATTGTAGTCCACATTATGCCAATTTGACAACTAGCTACTGTGCAACTGGTAATTAGAGAACATTAAAAAATATTTTCTTATATTAAACCCTTGGATTTTATGTGTAATTAATTTTTGCATCCATGTATTATTTTTTGACATCTTTGATACCGTATAAAGTAAAAATGTTAAATTTTAGATAAGAAACAATTTTTGATGGTTTTACAGTGTCATATGTCAGATTTCATTAAGTTTGTATGCAATAATTTTGATATATGTCTCAACTAAAATTCAGCATTTTTATGTGTATCACTTATCATTAAACTTATTGCTTTCTTAGAGAAGAATTGACTTCAGATGTGTATTTTTTTTTAATTGCCTTGTTTAGGAATTGTCTAGGTAGTGTTCATTAATAATTTTATTTAAATGGAAAAATTTGTTTTTTTCCATTCTATAATTTTTTTTAAATTTGTGCAGTTCTGATGTTAATCTTTCAAGGAATTAACTCCCTTTATTGTGCCAAAACTAATTTGTCTGTACAGTATGCAAAAAATTATTTTGGACAAACATTTGAAGATTTGCCAATGTTCAAGGAAAGTTCAATAGAGCATATTTGATGTCATAGTCAAAACTTAGTTTAACCTACCCAACAAGTACATATATCCAAAAATGGTTTCTGCTTGCTAACATAAACACCCCTTTCAGTTCAGTGATGAAATTTGGCATAAATATCCATCAGGTATAGAATTAATTTGGGCCTGGTCAGAAAGAACATACAAGAAAGTAGTACATAATATAAACAAAATAGCTCCTACGCATAGCTGTATCATTTTCAATAGGTGACATATTTGTGTAGTTTTGGTATCAAAAGAAAGCTTGGGTACTTGGAACCACTGTAGAACCCTTGTTGAAATTTTCTTTTGATTAGTAAAAAAAATATATAAAATTATAATAGGAGGGCACATTTGCCCTGTAGTTCAGATCAGAAGTACCTGTTTTTGTACTATCAAACTTTCGGGAACCAGTGTGCTCTAATATGTAATTAAAGGTATGTTGAATTTTTAAGCACAAGTAAGGATAAGGTATAGTTTTGACATGAAATGACTGCCACTTTATTTGAACATAAGACAAATTAGCCATTAATGCTTGACATTGCAGAATTTAACATAGAAATCAATGGGGCTATTAATTAGTGGATTTATTCCATCACTCCTAGAAGGGATTTTATGTAATAGGAAGAAAAATGTACATTGAAATTCATCATAAAAACAGTTCAACTGAGCTAGACCGAATTTTTCTGTCCCTATATTGCAGATATGAAAAACAAAATTGATATAAAAAAGAAAAAAAAGTGGAAGGCTATCGAAGATCAGGAAATATCTGCACTATAGAGACAAAAGAATTGGGTCTACAACTTGGGTGCATATAGGTACAAAAATCTATTCTGCTCTATAACTTTATAACTCCATGAGTTTTTAGCTTAAACTTGATGTTATTATTCATCAATACTAGATTGTGTGTTGAATCATGATAAAAAATTCAGTTGACCTTAGACACCCCCATTAGTGAAGTTTGAAATCACTATCCTCTAGTTTTCCACGTGTCACCTTCAAATATTGTGTATTTTTATTAAGATATTAGCATTTTTTGCAACTTAAAATGTTTGTAAAATTTGCACATTGATTTGGAAGACTTGCTATTGATTAATTTTCATGGTAATGTTGAAAAACAAAAATTCATATTAGAATAAAAGTTCATGTATAACTTTCTTTTTCAGATGACTTCCACTTTAGGGGTTCTCATATGTATAAACCTGGTTAGTAAACTGTTTATTATATGTTGTGATTGATAATTTGAATCGTAGATCAATTTATTCAGTAAATATATGCTAGCTTTTAACCCTTTCAACGATATACACAGCATATGCCGCGATGACGTACGCCGCCCGCCACAGCTGTTCGGGGCATATGTCGCGATGAAGATGGATTTTTCATCCAGACTCGTAAACATTCGGTTTTCATTTGGGTCCTCTCTAATTTTTCCTCGTATGAATCGAGGATATACAAGGTCCCGTTTGGGCTTGAAATCGTAGAAATTTTAATGGTATAGCATGCAGTAGAAGAAAAATAAAAAATGTTTTTTGACAAATGCAAATGGCGGGAATCGAAAAAAAGATGCTGTTAATATGGAAATATTTCAGCATTTCTATGGCGAAACTGACAACGAGGAATGGTTTAAAGGTTTCCCGTTATCTCAATATGTTAATTACATGTAATTCGTGTGAGAAATATGATTTGATTGATCTTTAAGAGACATAGAAAAAGTGGGGGAAACGGAGGTTGACTGAAAATTTTGAAGATGGAGCCATTTATTTACGCCATGGAATCGAGCAACTGGTGTCTTCTTTATTATATGGCAGATAAAACAACAAAATAAATGAAGATTAAAAGTTGTTTGTATTCAAAATTCAACACAAATACAATAATTTACACCTTTTACCTGTTAGTTACCTGAAAATGCAGGTAGCTTGGTGAAAATTTTACTAAAATAATTGCATAACATTACAGTTCATGCTCTCCTGAGCATTTTTCATGCATTAACTTTGTCTGTATCTCTAATAATAAAAAAGATACAGCAGTCTGAAAAGGAATATACTGTTCTAATAAATGAACACAAAAAAAATGCATCAGCAGCAGCCATTTTTCTATTTTATTGTTTAGCGTTGAAAGGGTTAAGAATTACCCTTTTAATTTTTACTTTTTAGTTTCAAATATGAATTCCAAAACATCAATTTGACACAAATAGCGTACATGTCCTCCAAAAAGATAAAGTAAATTTTGTTGTAATTGCAATTTTTTTTTAAATTCAATATTTTTTGTACATAAGCCATTTAATGTCTTATAAAGTTATAGATGTTCATACATAAGTAAATATTTTACAAGAACAGCTGAGAAATAACACTTTGTTCAAAAATTGAAATAAACCAAACCTTTTTACAAGTTGAAAAATTACTTCTGCAACATTATTACATCATTATGATGAAACGTAAGTTAAATTAGTAAGAAAATGAAACAATTTTATTATTAACCTCATACATGATTTCTCATCAAAATTTTAAAAAAATGTTTGAGAATTTCAATAAAATAAGATTTAAAAGGTCTTTTTACATCTGAGTCTATAACATAAGACACAACTTTTTATTTTTATTTTTATTTTTTGTGTTTTTAACGCCACTTTTATGCACCGCTTTTGGGCTATTTCGTGGCGGCCATTTTTAATTGGTGGAGGAAGCCGGAGTGCCCAGAGAAAACCACCAACTTTCGATAGGAAAACTGACAATCCTAGTCAATTAAGATTGGAGTCGAGTGCACCTGCATGAGTGGGGTTCGAAAACTCACAACCTCAGTGTTGACCTGTTAGTGATTACAGTAGTAACTACTTAGACCACTCGGCCACCGAGGCCCCCTAAAGACACAACTAAAGAACTACACAAAAAAAAAAGATTGATATGGAAAAACACCGCTGAAGTAGAAGCTATGTATTGTATCTGTTTATCTTTTTTTATGGGCAAATAGTTTATATAAAAATGGAAAAGAAAAGAAAAGATATGGTGTATCAGTTCATAATACAAAATCACTATAAACACACAAAAAAACCAACAGAAAAGGAGCAAATAAAACCTCATGTGCACATTTCGCCTTAGAAATCATCAAATTTAAATTCCCTCCAAGATAAACCACTTTGCAGTAATAGAAGATAACTTGTCATTTATGTTATAATTAAACAATTTAAGCATAATTATTTACTTTTAGAACCACTAGTGGAACCAGTCCAAAAGTGTCCAATGTCAAGTTTGGGTGGTTACATAATTACCATACAGTATCTTCTGATTTGCAAACTTGTATTAGTCACACTGTTGTTTGCAATGTTTGCGTAAGTATGGCAGGAAATTAAATTTGTAATTTTTTTTTTATTTGATTAAAGAACACAGGGAAGTTTATGTTAAACACCTTTGAAATCAGATTCCTTCAGCTATTATATGTCATTTTTTCAGGCCATACCCACATTTCATCCTGTCTTCAACAAGAGAAATACCATAAAATCTCTTTATTAAACTATTTTTGGTAACATTTGTTATAGAAAAATTACATATATTATCTCTGTACCTATTAGTTTGTCATCACTAAGACTTCCAGCTCTTTGATTGAAACCAAACTAGACTGGTGAATTATAGTTGCTTTTTATAGCTGACTATTCACTATACAGTATGGGTTTTCTCATTGTTGAAGGCTGTACGGCTACCTATAATTGCTTACATCCATGTCAATTGAACAAGGGTTGATAGTTGTCTCAACGGCAATCAAACCACATCTCCTAATTTTTATACGACCGCAAAAATTAAAAAATTTTTGGTCGTATATTGGTATGACGTTGGTGGCGTCGTCGTCGTCTGGCGTCGTCCGGCGTCGTCCGAAGACACATTGGTTTTCGCACTCTGACTTTAGTTTAAGTGAATGGATCTCCATGAAATTTTACCATAAGGTTCAATACCACGAAAGGAAGGTTGGGATTGATTTTGGGGGTTATGGTACCAACAGTTAAGGAATAAGGGGCCAAAAAGGGGTCAAAAATAAGCATTTTTGTAACTTCCAGACAATAACTTGTGTGTAAGTGTATGGATCTCTCTGACATTGTACCACAAGGTTCCATATCACAAAGGGAAGGCTGTAATTGATTTTGGGGGTAATTGCCTCAAAATTTTAGGAATTGGGGGCCAAAAAGGGGCCAAAAATAAGCATTTTTCTAGTTTCCAGACAATAACTTGTGTTCAAGTGTATGGATCTCTCTGAAATTGTACTGCAAGGTACCATACCACAAAGGGAAGGCTTGTATTGAGTTTGGGGGTGATGAATCATAAGGGGGTTCAAAAAATTTGGGAGGGGGGATTTTTTGTTTTTCCTTTTTTTTTTTTTTTTTCCTTTTTTTTTTCTTTTAAAATTTTCCATTTTAAGTTGGTTATTTCTGATTAATATTTAAAAGCAAATAATAATGATATGGTAGGAGATACACACCAAACAGGATGTGTAAATTATTATATAATAAGTATTGTGTAATAGCAAGAAATTTTCAATTGCACAGTATTGCACAATAGCAAGAAATCTTCAATTGCACAGTATTGTGCAATAGCAAGAAATCTTCAATTGCACAGTATTGCGCAATAGCAAGAAATATCCACTAGCACAATATTGCGCAATAGCAAGAAATTGTCAATTGTACAGTATTGCGCAATAGCAAGAAATATTCAATTGCACAGTATTGTGCAAAAGAAGATACTTCGTATAAATTGCTTATTTCTTGATCAATTTCAATGGGATTTTATTCTTGAATTCTTGGGGTTCTTTAATATGCTGAATCTAACCGTGTATTAAGTTTTTGGATTTTGGGCCCCATTTTTAAATTGGTCCACATTGAGGTCCAAAGGGTCCAAAATTTAACTTTGTTTGATTTCATCAAAAATTGAATTATTGGGGTTCTTTGATATGCCGAATCTAACCGTGTATTTAGATTCTTAATTTTTGGTTCCGTTTTCAACTTTGTCCACATTGAGGTCAAAAGGGTCCAAAATTAAACTTTGTTTGATTTCATCAAAAATTGAATTCTTGGGGTTCTTTGATATGCTGAATCTAACCATGTATTTAGATTTTGGATATTGGACCATAATAGGTGAATGTCAAATTTAAAATTTTTAAGTTCTTAGATCACATTCATTCTGTCTCAGAAACCTATGCTGTGTCAAATATTTAATCACAATCCAAATTCAGAGCTGTATCAAGCTTGAATGTTGTGTCCATACTTGCCCCAACTGTTCAGGGTTCGACCTCTGCGGTCGTATCAAGCTGCGCCCTGCGGAGCATTTTATTATATAGTTAAAGTTGGTTGCCTCATTTGCCTATCAATTTCTATGAGAAAATATCCCCAAATTACATGATCTTTTACCCATTTAAGTTCACCTAGTCAAGCTAACCTTTTCTTGTCTGTCTGGTATTCATCATTTAACATTTTCAAACTAGAAGGTCTAAAATGACACAAAACATGGCCGTCTGCAAAATTATCATCTGGAACATTCAAGATCTTCTGGTCTGATTATAACCATTAGAGTATGAAAAATTCTTAAATATGACAATTTTTTCATTCGTTGTTGGTCATCTTTGGATACAGTAAACAGATTTCATATAAACTCATCATAGATACTAGGCTTAAAATTTTGCACACTAGAAGCACATTTCATCTACAAGGGACTCATCATGACACTTGAATCAAAAAACTTAAAAAGGCCAAAATAAAGTACGAAGCTTAAGAACATTGAGGACCCAAAATTAAATTGAGATGTGATTGCATATTATCAACTATCTAGTGTTGACCTAGTTACAAATACAATTTACAGTTTATGAACACCAATTCTCAAACAGTTTTCGTAGTGAAAAGAAACATGTATTTATTATTACTGGCAACTATGCCTTGTTGTTTGAAAACTTTAAAATGAAATAATTCCAGCAGGCATGGTGTACTATTGATACAAATTCATGATTTCTAATGTTTTGTTTTATTGTTTTTCAGTCTCACAATAACCAAGGTAGATCTTGAAGCTGCTGAGATCTGGAAGTTTCAACGATATATGATAATTATGGACTTTGAGGACCGACTCTGCTTTCCACCACCTTTCACCATCATCAACTACCTTTTTATTCTTCTAACTTTTATACATAGACATTTAAAAGGCTGCATAAAGCAATGTTCTGACTTTTGTACATGTGATAAAGTGATTAAGGTAGGGTCACAACCATTTGCTTTGCATATTCAAAAGGCTTTGTTTTTTCACAATACCAATTGCTAAAATTTTTACCCAATTGCAGCTTAAATTTACCTCTATAAAGTGATCTACTAGGGTGCGTTCAATATCATAGCTGCTATGTAGATTTCCACTACTGAACATATAGCTAGTCTAGCCGCTAAATAGATCTAGATAGCTTAAAAAATTCATGCTATCTAGTGAATCCAAAATGGCGTCAGATAGGTTATTATTAATGAAGTCAATTGGATAACCTAGATATTTAGCATATCGTTCAACATAGATAGATATATAGGAAATAGCAACTATACTAGCTGCTATGATATTGAACATCATTATAGCTTACTGTGAATTCATTTATTTTTCCCTCCTATAAAAAATATATTCTTTGTTGAACATTATTAGTTATGAAGCAAGCGTAGTGAAATCAAATGATATTATCATCCATTTCCAGTAATTGAATGTCAGTGTCGAGCAATTAGAAAAAAAATGAATATAAGGATCACTAGTTTTCAAAATTTGACTTTGCTATGAAAAATTCTATCAACATGACTTTTTTATAAGTCATTAGTTTTGTTAGCAAATAAATTATTGCTTTGTTTCCTTATGTTCAGGAAGTTATTGTGTACTTCTAATCTGGATGTTTTTTTTATAGATAAGACATTTCAGCGAGTTTACTCTCGATTAATTAAGGTTTAAATAAAATCAATTTAGTTTTGATTTTGAATGAAAATTCTAAACACTTAGGTGAGGTTCTGCATTTATCTAATAACATAAAAAGGATAAAAACTTAGAGGAGTCATTTAAAATACGTGTTTGTTGAGTGAAAATGAGGCAACAGGAAGTCAATTTGCCTTTGACTGAAGCTTTTTAGATGTGAAAGAAAATATATACTAGTAAATAAATAGGGAGATGTGGTATAATTGCCAATGAGACAACTCTCTACCAGAGTCCAAATGATGTCCAAAGTATGCTCAAAATACTTAAAACTTTAATAAACAAGTTCTTCTACTTATAGGCTGACAATTTTCATGATTATTTCAGACGAAGAGATCAACAGAAAGTCATAAAAAGACAAAAAGGTCTGAGGATTATAATTACTGGAAGAAATGCTCCCATGATTATGTCAATATACAGGAGGAAAAATGTCAAATGGAGGATATACCAAAGGTACAAGCTGAAATGTAAGTAACCCCGCCGCATTTTTGCGCCTGTCCCAAGTCAGGAGCCTCTGGCCTTTGTTAGTCTTGTATCATTTTTAATTTTAGTTTCCTGTGTATAATTTGGAGTTTAGTATGACGTCCATCATCACTGAACTAGTATACATATTTGTTTAGGGGCCAGCTGAAGGACGCCTTTGGGTGCGGGAGTTTCTCGCTGCATTGAAGACCTATTGGTGGCCTTCGGCTGTTGTCTACTCTATGGTCGGGTTGTTGTCTCTTTGACACATTCCCCATTTCCATTCTTAATTTTACACTATCATATAGCAAGTTTTTGGAAATACCTGTTCATTTAAAGTCAGGAATAGGTTTCTGGGAATTTGTCTCTTCCAAAACAGGACTATAAAATGGAGTTGGAGAATGTGTCCCTACCAAGATAGGACTATGTACTATGTCAGGAACATGCGTCAGGGAATTTGTCCACACAGGACTATGACAGTCAATTGTTAACATGAATATAACTGTAAATTCAAAATTTATTGCGTTGTTTTTATTGTTGCCAATATTGAATGGGATATGTTATGCAAAAATCAATTATATCTGCCAATTAATATTGTTTATTTATTTCCTTGTTTAAAGATTACAGAATATGCAAGATGATTTGAGATTCCAGAAGAAGACTATTAAGAGAATGACAGATAGGATATTTGAATTAGAGAGAATGATTCAATCCAGTAGGATGTATCTAGAGAATATCTCGCATAAATTGGACAAGTCAGGTAAAAAAAAAAGGGATCAATTAAAAAACGGTAAATCAAAGAAATAACAATAACACCATGGCCAAAAGAAAAGAAAAGACAAACGAGTTGAAATGACTGTTCATTAGTGACACCCATGGGAAAAGTGAAAGTTTTGAAAGTGAAAAGTACATGTTCATTGAAGAAATGATACAGTCTACTGTAAATTCAGAAATTATTGCGTGCATTTATTATTGCGATTTTTCAAGAATGGACAAAAATGCGAGATTAATTATTGCGATATCATGAAAATCTGCATACACATATATGTAACAGACATCAGAATGCAAGTTCTTATTATTGCGTTAGTCACCCAGTCGCATTATTCACATTAATAAAAACCTTGCAATAATTTCTGAATTTACAGTATTAAAGACTTCTCATACACTACACAAATCAGATTTTTGGAGGAAAATTAGAAAGGATGAAATGTTTATAGATAATATTGCCCATATTTTGCTAAACATGTTATTTACTGTATTCCTGTCACGTAATGTTGTCATTTTAGTGGTATTTTTAGCTCACCGTTCCAAAGGAACGGTCAGCTTTTGCCATCACTTGGCGTCCATCGTCGTCTGGCGTCGTCGTCCGTCCGGTGTAAACTATTTCAAACATCTCCTCTGAAACTAATGAACCAATTCAAACCAAACTTAAGCTGAATGATCCTTAGGGTATCTAAAATAAAGTTTGTGTTTTATTTTGTGTTTCGTCAAAAAACATGGCCGCCATGGCTAAAAATAGAACATAGGGGTAAAATGCAATTTTTGGTTTATTTCTCGAAAAACCAAACCATTTAGAGCAAATCTGACTTGTGGTAAAAATGTTCATAAGGTCAAGGCCTATCAGCCCTGAAATTTTCAGATGAATCTAACAACCCATTGTTGGGTTGCTGCCACTAAATTGGTAATTATAAGGAAATTTTGCAGTTTCTGGTTATTATCTTGAATATTTTTATAGATAAAGATAAACTGTAAACAGCAAAAATGTTCAGCAAAGTAAGATCTTCAAATAAGTTTATATGACCAAAATTGTCAATTGACCCCTTAAGGAGTTATTGCCCTTTAAGGACAATTTTACACAATTTGTTTATCATGTTTTCTAACTTTAAAAAATCTTCTCCTCTGAAACTACTGAACCAATTCCAACCAAACTAAAGTTGAATGATCCTTAGGGTATCTAGAATAAAGTTTGTGTTTTATTTTCTGTTTCGTCAAAAAACAAGGCCACCATGACAATTGGTAAAAATGTTCATTAGGTCAAGGTCTATCAGCCCTGAAATTTTCAGATGAATCTAACAACCCATTGTCTTGTATAAATTTTGTATTTTATTTCCTTGTACGTCAAGAAACATAGCCACTATGGCTAAAATGGAAAAAAGGGGTAAAATGCATTTTTTTGCTTTTGAAGAAAATATGACAGATACAAAGAACATTTAAATGGCATTTTTAAGCCACTCATTAATATATATTGAAAAGCAAAAATAATCATTGATAAATGTTTTAAGCAAAAAATTACAGGTGAGTGATTCAGGCTCTTGAGAGCCTCTTGTTAACATTGCCATATAAGCAGGAGGTTTGGCTAGCCATAAAACCAGGTTGAACCCACCATCTTTTCTTAAATGTCCTGTACCAAGTCAGGAATATGGCAGTTGTTATCAAATAGTCTGTTTCTATGTATGTTGGCATTTGTTTTTGTAGCAGTTCAGTGTTTCTGTTGTTCCATTGTTTTCCTCTTACAGTTGATGTGTTTCCCTTGGTTTTGGTTTTTGACCCCGTTTTTTTTCGCTTAATCGACTTATGACTATTGAACAGCGGTATACTACTGTTGCCTTTATTTATGTGTCATTTATTGCAGAAATAACGTTTGCTATTTCAGTTATTATAACCCCTAATACCTTTTCAGCAGAAGTATATACTGTGAAAGTACTTTTATTCGTGGGTATCAATTTTCGTGGTTTAAGCAAAAGTTACATGTTTGTGGATTTTAGTTTTCTGAAAGAAAAAAAAAATGAGAGAAGAATTTGAAGCCACCAGAAACGAAGATTCTTGAAATAATCCTAATGTTGATTTAAAATGATTTGCGGGACATTGCAAATAAGGTGTTCATTTTCACCTACTTGTTTGTCAGCTTTCATTTATACTGACAACATTCACCAAATTTTTAATAAAATAATAGCTTTGGGAAATAAGCTGATTCATCTATGCTCTTTTACAGTGTTGACTTATCTATTGAAGGAAATTGCAACGTAAACATTTTAATTGTTGCACACGTGTAATCTGATGTGTTGACACTAATTAACCCGATACTCCTGTTAAGAAATTTGATTTTCAAAGCAGATCTTTGAAATTTCTTAAATTGTTAGGGTAAACTTGAAACTTGTATATTATTGAAAACTGTACATCAAGCCAAGGCTTCTAAAACGGTCATATTTGCCGGACAAATGTAAATTTATCAGACATTGCCTGACTGGGCCATTCATGAAACTGACATCTATGTAGGTTTGCCATTTCAAAGTTCATGTGATTCTGAAAAATCAACCATTTTGACTTGACATTGTTCCTTAAACAGACACACTTTTCCGGTCATTAAAGTGACAGTGCTCTATAAACAAGCCATAAAAGAGCTGTTCCTTTGCTTTTTGTATGTTTTTTTGTTGTGCATTTACTGATTTTGTGTCATGGATGGAAACCCCATATCCTTTGTTTTTCTATCCTACTATAATCCCCTCTCATTACAATCAAGGTTAATTAAGTGTCTAACAGTTAAGATTTACCTGTGCCCAAGGATTTATATAGTATACAAGTCCTTGCTGTGCCGGACATGGATTGATCTTTTTGGAAGTTATTTTTTTATCTAAATTAAAAACATTCCTTGTCTAAATTTAACTACTTTTTAGCAAAACAGATTGAGACTATCAGAAAAACGTATTTAAAACGATAAGATCATAATTTACACGTAACAGGTAGACTATGTAGTACCGGACATTGATCGGTCTTTTTATTTAAAAGTTATATCTAAATTTCAGCAGTTTGCATCTAATCAATTTAGTCAAAAAGATATACGTATATGAACATGATTTGATGAAAAAATAAAAAAGGAAGTAATAAAGATTGTAAGCGAAAAATTGTCAGAACCACGTTGTTTGAACTAGTACACGTGTGCGCATGTGCACAGGTGTGAGGTTTAATTATGCAACCAAATTTTTCAAAAATGCTAAAATAACCATTGATACCTTTATCTTACGTTCATTATGAGTATTTTCCTGAAGAAATAACGTGGAAAGAGCTACTTAAATTCAATCATGCTTTATAAACGTACACGGATTTCACGTAGTCATCTCTGGTCCATGGTCAACCATTGCCAAGTCAACATCCGGATTAGAAAATGTGTCTTTTAAAATCGAAAACGAAGTTATTGACAGCTTACTTTTCCACAAATAAAGAGTCTTAGGCAGATATTAGTATGCTGATATTGCACACTTCAAATGATGCACCGTCAATTGAACAGTTTACGTCAGAACATCGAATTTATATCAAAAGTCAAGTTTGAAATCGTTTTTATGTCAATCATTGATTATATGAAGCCCAGCTGATTAAAATGCTTGCCTTTTGTTACTAAGTCTTAATGGACTGAAATCAGGATAAGACAAAAAATGTCCGGCTGGCTCAAATATTTTTTGGAAGCCCTGCATCAACCCCTAGATACCTTTTTTGTCCTTTGACTGCTGTTACATTGACCTTTACCCTACACCTTTTTTCATACATGTGTTTTATCTAAGGTTCACATGGGAAGAAATGATGATATGGTATATAAGAGGCAACATCAGTAAACCAATGTTCAAAACTGATTAATATTTTTTTGGCTGGGTTGGACAAAGTCCAAAACTAGCTTATAGTATTCTGATGTCTGGCTGGCGGTTCAAGCAGGAAAAGTAGGTACATGATTTGTATAATCAACTCCTCCTACAGTTTTAAATCCAAATCCCTGAAATTTCGCAGCAAGATTGAACATATGTTGAAATTGTGCACCTGATATTATGGAATTATTTGGGGAATTTTTTCTCATTTTTCAAGACATAAGAACATAGTCATTTTTCAGCAAAATTTAGTCACAACTATTGCAACATGACCATTTGAGACTTTGACCTATTTTTGATATACAAATCAAGATAAAAAACTAAATCTCATGATGTCAAAAAGGAGCGAGACCGGTCGGCATGGCAGGGTGTCTCCTGCTGTACATGCATCACCATTCATGTAAATCCACACTCAGTCAATATGTCACAATAGTGCGAAGGACACAATGGGTAAAATAACAGACGACTATTTTGGTATCTCTAATTTTTTCAGTTTTCACATTTCCCAACCGATTGTGAAAAAATTGTTCTCCTCATTAGTGAAATGTCTGTTCTCGACAAATGATTGGTAGAAATTTAATTATGACGTCAAATTTTCTTGGTTTCTTCTGATTTTTCTATTGTGACGTCACATATAAAGAACACAACTTTCTGCTAATCTTTGGAAAAGGAAGGATAAAAATCATTAGAGAAACAGATTCCACTACTATAACTCGTGTATTACGATATTTCTCCACTTTCAACAGTTAAATTTTAATAATTTAAAAAGCTCGGCAAGCCCCGCGCTTTAAATATTAAAATTTAACCGTCTCAAGCGGAGAAATATCGTAATACACTTGTTGCAGTGGTGGAATCTATATATCTATAGATCTAAGACAGTAAAAACAAGTCACTTGTGTGTTGAGACACGCACAAATTGTATTGGTATATGTGTATTTTATTTTAACAGATGTGCTTGGAGTATCTACAGTAAAAGGTTTACTTGTCCATGTGGCTGCCAGGCAATCACCTTATCCAGGAACCAATGTTGCTAGATTCCCTGTCTTTGATAAATATGTTCCATGGGAGGTAAGACTTATAAGGTTACCAGTGTATATTAGATACAATATTTTTCTGCCTAAGCTAGTCTAATAAGGATCAAAGAAAAGTCAAAATTACGTAGGAGTTCAAATATCAAGACAAATCACTATTTAAAGCAGTGACATAAACACATCATTTTTTATGTAGGGTTATTTTAAAATTATCAGTTGAAAGAAAATAATTTTCCTGGTCATTCTGTAGAGGTTATTCTTCCCATATACTGCATATGAAAATTCCAGACATCTTCATCACTGCCAAAATTTCTCCTGTTTTTCCAATGCTTGTGTCTTAAAAAACAAGCACTCAGGCTTATCTGTTTAATCCATTTTTTATGTATTATATTTTTTTTACTGAAAATACATTTTTTATCAAAATGTCAATATTTTAAACTGTTGAAACTAACATCCTTAATTTAACCTTTTAGTAAATGACTGAGAATATAAGAGCCATTCAAGTTTCGCAAAACAAGCCCTGTTGCTTTAGAAATATTTAATTACTGAGGAAATTAAGATTACATTTTTTGTTATTTATATACATTGTTTATTGTAAATATGACTGTTTCAAATTACAGCAACCATATGAAGTTTATGATGCCAGAATATACACAAAGCGAAGAGATTCATTTAGTGAAGATGAAAGACTGTATGTTGATGAAGATATTTTACTGTAAGTATTACAATAACTTCATGGAAAATAGTAATATCACTCACAGAAATTAATCATAAAAAGCAGTAATGAAAAGAGACATAGCAAAATATTTCCTTGACCATTAATTTTTTATTCTTATATTATATGATGTGCTGCTTTCGCTTTGTAAACAATGAAACAAATTCTAAAGAAGATTGCAAATGTTTAGGTTGAGAATTATAAGGGTTATAAATTGAATACATATTTTCTAGAGGTTATTTAAAATTAGTTCATGCAAGTCATAGATTTGTTGGAAATTTTTTGCTTTATATTACAGGGAGTAAAATACAACATCCACACACATGGCACACTTATCTCTGATTCAGTTTTATAAATTTCCATATTTGTGGTATAAGAATCAAAATGATGCATGCAAGCCATATGTTTGTTGTCATTTTCGCATAACCTGGGCAGTTATATATGTTCCTTGCTAATACATGTAATAAAATAAGAATATAATGGTCCAGGCCATCATAAAATTCTATGGCTTGCATGATCTATTTCTTAAATATTTCATTGTTTACAATGAGTACCATGAATTCCTAATCAAATAAAAGTCAATTATTGCATATCAAGTGAAATAAAACCCATTATTTCACTGCCCTTGTGCATACAACTAAAGGTGGTGTCAAAATGTAAATTCATCAAAACAAAGTAAATACATGTAAAAAAGGATTTTCTACTTTATTTGGAATAAAAATCAATCTGATAGAAAGAAAAGATAATCCAAGAATTCAAATATAGACAAATTTTCAAATCCTGACCAAACATCAGATAAATCACTCGTCTGCTATGCATTAATGTCTTGTTCTGTCACGTGTTTGATATATATATTTTTTTTTTTATGTTTTAATTATGGGATTAGTTAATTTATAAATTTCAGAACACGTCTTGTTGTTTTTGTATTACTGGAAACAAGTAACGCCAGCCATAACATAAATAACACCTCCACAAAGACAACATGCTATTTGAAAAAAAATATGTTTTGAGTACTTTGGGAAAGTATGATACACTTCTCTACTTCAATTGTAGCTGCATAATTCTTTTCTTAAAAAAGATTATTTTGTTAGCAAAATGCTGCCTTGTACATCACAGCCATAATGTTTATTGTTCTTTTTTGTAGTATCAAACAACAAAGACAAGAACGCAATCTGTTGCCGGAGGAAGAAAGAGCAGAATTACCTCCCTTACCTTCCATTAATATTGTATGGAACAAGATAGTGACATCAAAATTAGACGTAGGAACACAGATGTATGATAGAAGGTCTTGGGTGATGCTGGATAATCAGATTTGTAGATATAAAATCGATCCACTTGGAGTTCCTTTGTAAGTGCTAAAGGGGAGATTATTTGTGGACTGAACTATATGTCAGTCATCAAACTACCTGCACCTTCAATTTATCAGGGAAAATTTAGGTATCAAATTAGTCAATGAAAACTTGATGGAATATAGATAAAGTCAAGTAAATAAGATAAATTGACATGAACTCTTGTATATTAGGCTTATGGTTGCATTTAATCAACCTATGATGATGGAAGTTTTTAACAACCTTGACTGGCTATACAGCCCTCGCACGGTCATTATCAACCTAACTGTGAGCCCTCTAGTTATATACCTGTCATTTGTTTATTGTCACTCATGGTCACTAAAATGCTTTAACACAAAGCTCTATTTAGACCCAGACAATTTTGGAACATGCTCTAGGGCAAGCTTTTTCCAATTACACCTGGAAACTACTGATTTTTTATTTTTTATTTTATTTAGGCAAAAAGAGTTAGGTTTGGAGCCTATGAATTAGAGTTGCTCTGCGTTATTTTTTGGCCTTGGTAAAATGAGAAAAAAATAGGCAATCAAAAATTGATCAATCTGCATTTTAACATTATACCTGGATATGAATATTTATGTTACATGAAACTGTTCATAAAAATGTAATTAATGTATGGTATTATTAATTCTCTCCTGTTTAAGATCTTATTACCTCCCCCTACCATCTATTAAAGGCTTTATTTTGCCCAGAATGCTGAACTAAATAATTTCATGATGTGATGGATTTAAATTACAAGTACCTGTTTTTTGTGTTTTTTTTTACAATTTTATTATAGATTCTAGATGATTTACAGTTTGGCATATTAAATGTAAAGACACTTGTCTATTGTTGAAGACTGTATGTTGCCCTCTAACAGACTTTAGGTTACTCATGTAGTTAGGTTGCTGTCTCATGGACCTACATACCACATCTCCTTTTATTCATCAATAAATGGGAATAAATCTCTTACCATACCTTTTGTCCTTAAGATACCACATTCCAAATACTGTAAACCAACTAATTTTCATGGATACTTTTCATGTTTAGTTCTTCTAACAGACCGATTTATTTTTACAATTTTCTAACTTTCTTGATGTCTTTATTTAATGGAACATCCAACTTTGACATAATTGCAACATTTTATATTCACAAAAGTGAAAATTAGATGGTTTTACAGTACACAAAAGTGGTGTCTGGCTCATAACTTAAGAATGCCTTTCTATGTTGTGATGTTACACTATTGTTTCTGTAAAAGGGTGAAGGTTTGGTACCATTAAAACTTTTAAACCCGCTGCATTTGTTTGCACCTGTCCTAAGTCAGGAATCTGTTGTTCAGTAGTTGTCGTTTGTTGTTGTGGTTCATAAGTGTTTCTCGTTTCTAGTTTTTTATATAGATTAGACCGTTGGTTTTCCCGTTTGAATGGTTTTACACTAGTAATTTTTGGGGCCCTTTATAGCTTACTGTTTGATGTGAGCCAAGGCTCCGTGTTGAAGACCGTACTGTGACCTATAATGATTTACTTTTATAAATTTTGACTTGGATGGAGAGTTGTCTCATTGGCACTCATACCACATCTTCTTATATCTACTTAAGGACATTAATGATACTTTGTGTTATTGCTACCAACTGTCTAAAGGTGTGTCCAAGGTCTGTATGGTTGTCTGACAGGTCAAGATCACAGACTTAGTTAAGCATAACATGAGGATATACAAACATTGCAGGACTATTGAATGCTTTTAAGATTATTTGCCATTCATTTTTGTTACTATCCTAGCAAAGTGCCAAAGGGCTAAAATGAGTATTGGTATCTAGTGTAAGAATCAAGGCTGCATTATTGATTTAATTTTTTTTTCACCAAAAAATAATTTGGTACATGGTGTGGCCTATAAAAGTTTATATCAAGAAGGGTTTTTTTTATATTTCTATTTGATATTTTAGGAATCCAATGGGAAGAACTGGTCTCAGAGGGAAAGGTGTGCTGTGGCGTTGGGGTCCAAACCATGAGATCTTGGCTGTTTGTACAAGATGGAGAAGAATTGATACACTTGATGGTCAGCTTCAGGGTTATCTCTATGTAGAAGGAAAGAAAGTATTGGAATTCATAGCTGTGAGGAAAGATGATGAAAGTGAAGACAGCTGCTTCGGTTTACCTGGGGTATAGTTTGATTAATGGAAAAAAAAAATTCTTTAACTTCGAGAGATCAATTAATTAAACAAAAATGTTCTTATTGGGCATCAGGAGGAGTTTAGTTTATACATTTGATTAGATGATATATGAATGTTAGGCTGAAATCAAATGATCATATATATATATTAAATGTTTCAGCCTTGCTTTTTACACATGTATCCCACTTTTCGTTAATCCTATGCAAATTCACAATGAGATAGGGTTTTTTTTTTTCAAAGTTAGCTTTAGATTTATAATATACCAGTCCAGCTGAATGAATTCATTTTAATTTTTAGGTCTTCTTATTGCCTGTAATGTTAACTAAAATGTTGTTTATCACAGGGAGCCCTACATGGTTTGATTTCCCCATACAGTACTTTAGTGGAAGCTTTTGCTGTAGAAGTGTTGGATGAACATACATTTGAATGTAAACCAAACTTGGATCAAGGAGATCTTATTCAGGTAAAGTAGTTGCTAAATCACATGTGGAGCAGGATCTGCTTACCCTCTCGGAGCACCTCAAATAACCCCCCGTTTTTGGTGGGGTATCTATTGCCCAGACTTTAGTTTTCTATGTTGTGTTTTGTGTTTTGTGTACTGTTGTTTGTTTTTTGGTGGTTTTTTGTTTTTTGTCATTGCATTGTCAGTTTTGTAACTTTGAATATCTTTCACATCTCTTTCACTGTAGTTTCATGATAATATTCAGGCATTCTTAAACTTGCAAGGCTCTATTTTTCAGGACATTGGCACATTTTGCCATCCTTACTGGTTTCTGAGCCTATATATATATATATATATATTTTATCATGAATGCTAATTATTTGTAATATAGGGGAGACAATCTAACCTTACACTTATTGTGTTGCAAGTGGTCAGATGAAATCTTATTGAACTGTTGTAATTATGGAAGATAAGGTAAACTTCCATTTGCAATATTAGTTAATTTTAGTGTTGTCTGATGAAATTGACTTCATTATATCAGATGTAATACCCTTGAAACAAAGTTTTTGGGTATATAGGAATCAGCCTGTCTCCATCCATCTGTCTGACTGTCCATATGTCTGTCTGGCCAACTTCCTTATCCAAACCGTTTAGAATAAAAGATCATGATATGCAAACATGACCATCAGAAGAAATTTTTAATTCTGTTAAGTTTATCAAGAATTTTTCCTCTTTAACCTTAGGAATTTTAACCCTTTTCAAAACTAACCTTCAGGTTTAAGTCCAGCCAAATGGATAGTTCTAGTTATGTTTAATTTGTTTGTGTGTAATTCTGCTATTGTTGGTTCAAAGGAAAAGGTATGTTATAAAGATCTAGAGTCATAATTTGTTATAAAGATCTAAAGTCATTATTTGTTAGGATCTAGAGTCATAATTTGGCTCCTGAAATAGCAATTGTTGATGAATGAAGAGATGAATAATCTGGACAGTTTAGTGTAAAAAGGTCATTATGATGTGATAAACATTTCAAAATTGACACCTTTAACCTTAAATAGCCATTTTAAATATAGGTTTTAGACAATTAAATATGAGCCTCTTTGCTCATATTTTAAATATTGTTGACAAGATCTTAAAATGGGGCCATTTTGGCAGTTTTAACAATTTTGCACTAAATGTAAGAAGTTTGAATCCTTAAAGTAAATATATCAGACAAACTACAAAAATATTGATATTGATGTAATGATGTTCCTGACTAGAGACAGGCACATGAAAATGTGGTTGGGTTAAACTGGTTGAGGGATGTCTGTTAATCAACAACTCAGCATTATGGTTTGGCCCAGTCATCGCCTTTTGATTATGAGTATCATTCACTAGTAAACCAATTTTGAACTGAAACAGTCATTTTGATCGGAACAGGTGTTAAAAGACTGAACAATGAATTATTAAGTTATGTTTTGTCTTTCTGTTGATTTTCAGTCTTATCCACTGTGGTAAATTCGGTATTGTTAAGACAAGTCGTTGCAGTCAATAAAGATCAGTTAAGTCTATGTTCTGATTGTTCAATAGCTTTTATTTACCTGCACAAAACAACAACTTACTGAATTGTCTGAAAAAGGTAAAACAATACTGAATTTACAGCAAGAGAATATCATATAATAAACTTAAACTCTTTACTAGACTTAAAGTTTTGAGGTTCAGACTCTTAAGATAACTTGTTAAGATCAAAATGACCATTTAAGACTCGAATTTATTTACTGCTCATATTTTATTCCTTTTGATGTATGATTTCTTTCCTTTTAGTATTTTTCCCAGTTTGCTGCTCCTAATTTAGGCAGTATAGGTAATGTAGCATCAAGAACTTCAATCAATTTTCCCATAAGATCTCTATCACAGCCATGTCTAGGAAGTTTTGCAGCTTCGCGTGTCGGATCAAAGACAAGCTTAAGGACAGATATTGATTCTTCAGGATTTAGTGCTACTATGTTGTACAAAGGATATATAGATGATCCAAGAAACACAGACAGTGCCTGGGTAGAAGCTGAAGTTTGGAATTTTCACTATGATTCATCTGATACATTTGATGTTAAATTACCAGAGGTAATAATAAGAAATTGTTTCCAATTTTCATTTATAAAATTGATTATGAATGGACAGAGTCTCAAAATGACTCTGTTTTATTTGAGGTCGTTGGTAAATCTCCTGGGAAATCACGAAGTATTGATTGCAGTCTGTATGAAATCAGCTTCAGCAGTTAAGAATATTGTAATTCATGTTTTAAATACTAAAACTACTTGAAATCACAAATTTTACATCTTATTTTATAATTTGGGTCTTATGAAGGCCCTGCCCATTAATCAGGGTAAAAAGTCTATAGTAGTAGTGTACCATGTGTGTCCCCATCCCTCACAAATAACTAAGTAAAAAACCACTAGGAGTTGGCAAATGAAACTTAGTACTACTATAAATAGAAGGTGTGTCACATTCAAAGAAGAAAACTGTAAATTGAAAGTCATGATCAAACACTTGATTGTATATAAAAATTTAAAAAAAATTGTTCTCTAACTTATAAAATCTCTTTCTATAATTATACATCATTACTGGAAGATGTATCACATACGCTGGTTAAAAAAAAAAAAATATGTTCAAAGTGATGGTCAAAAACTGGGTTAACTTGGCCACTTCTGTGCACTTGTAAAACAATTGTGTCAGCTCTCTAACTTTAAAAGCACTTTAAGGTTGGATGCATCAGTAAAGTTTCAGCCATCTGTGGGTATAAGCTTTTTTTAAAGGAATAACCTTGTTTACTTTAAAATTGGAATTAAGATTTACAGATGGCTGACCCAGAATATAAGATTTTCATTTTATTTATAATTCTCAAAATAAAATTCTGAAGAAAATGTAATCATCCATAATTTATTAATTTGAGTGCCTCCCAATACCCATTTGTTTAAATCTGGTAAGGCCCAATTTTCTCCAGTGGGTCAATCTCATATCCTCTAGTTTTGGCAGCAAACAAAATAATTGATACTGAGTTTTTAGATAGTACGTCAGACCTTTTCAAGTTTAGATGCCTATGATATCTTGCTCTGACATTCTATTTCCATGTTGTCTAGTTTATGAGTATTGTTATATCATTCTGTATGTCACAAATAAAGCAGCCAATAAAGTTTTGTTTATATCTGTCAGAGTCTGCAATTTGGAATTACTGTTTTAATCAGAAATACTGTGAAAAAGTAAATCTGTGATTACTTTAGCAGGAGGAAAAATCTAGCAATTTTCATGCCCTCTACTGTCCCTGCCATAAAATTCAAATCTTTTGCTTTTTGAAAATTTAAACCCGAGACAATTTATTCCCTTCAATTCACTGTTGACAGTAATTATTACCTGAAAAAAATGGTGTTGCCCCACTTCCACTGAGGAGACATATTACTATCTGACTGTTTATTCAGCACAAAAAATTGTATACACCAAGTCTACTACACAATTTACTTTAAAGATTGAAATGAAACTTGACATACATGCTTGCCACCGCATGTGCTATTATATCATAAAACTTTGTCTATTTTTCAAGTAATTATCAAGAACATTGTAATACAAACTGTAGTTTTACACACCAAATATAATAATGAACATTTCATATACATAATGTAGGCTATAAAGACCAAATTTCCAACACCTTATTTCATTCTGTATCAAAAGTTAACATGATGTCTAGTAACACTAAAAATCAACAATTCGAAAAAGTGTCTTTGCATCAAAAACAGCAGTCCTTAATGAGAAGTGCTTTTCTTTTCCTTACAGGAAACTGTGAGAGTAACATGGAAAGAAGTATCACCTAATGTGAAGATATTTGGAAATGAAGGTGTTATCGTTCAAGAAGCTGCTAAAATTCAAGATGCTTATTACTAATCATGACTTCTACTTGTGTATATGTAATGATTAATGTTAAGTAAGAAACCATACCAAGAAAGAAAGTGATGTATGTTTTTTGCCAGTAATTCTGCAAAAGTTTTATGCTATAACTATACAGTGTTAAATTTGAGAGGTTTTATTATATTATTTTATAAAATAATTGTTTTAAGCATAATTGTTGAATTTTTTTCAGTATTGATATCTTAATATTTTTATCACTATTTTGTTAGTTTGTTTTTTCATAATTTATTAGTTTGGTTTTTTTTGCATTATTTGTTGTTAATTCATTTTTAATGATAATCAGTAAGAATTTTCATAGAAATTCTTATGAGAAAAATTACTTGTAGATTGTGACCAATTCAGTTTAAATTAACTTACACATAGTTTTAGTTGTAAGACGTAGATGATTTTATGAGTGTATTTCTCTCCAGGAAAATGGAGGATAGGGGTTCCAATGACTGTTACTACTCCTTTTTTCTAATTATTTTAGAATCACACTTAAATTAATGAAATAAAGGCTGGAACCCCTCCTGTTTTCCTCCTTGTCTTTGTATTCATTTCATTTTATTGTTCTCTACTTATTTTATAATTTAAAAATGCCCACTTTCAAAAATCTGGATTGCTAATGTTAAGTCAGAAACCATACCAAGAAAGAAAGTGATGTGTGTTTCTTGTCGGTGATTCTGCAAAAGCTTAATGCTATAATTATACAGTGATAAAATTGAGAGGTTTTATGATATTATTTTATAAATTGTTTGTTTTAAGCATAATTGTTGAATTTTTTTCAATATTTATATTTTAACATTTTTTATGACAATTTTGTTAGTTTGTTTTTTCATAATTTAGTATTATTTTTTTTGGCATTATTTGTTGTTAATTCATTTTTTAATGATAATCAGTAGGATTTTTCTTAGAACTTCTTACGGGAAAAATTACTTGTAAGTTATGACCAATTCAGATAGTTTTAGAGTAAGATATTTTGTGAAAATAGATACAGATGTTTGTTAAGTTATTTTTGTTTCCCAACCACTGTTGTTTTTTTTTTTTAAATGACATACAGTCATATTTGTTGTTAAAGATAATGTAAATGATTATTAATTGAATGATGATTGTTTAGTTCTAAATGATCAAGGTGCTGGTGTGAAATTAGTTTAGTGTGTAACACAAGGATAATATATAAGCAGGTTATCTATTTCTTAGCCAATTTATATTTTTTCAGACCAAAATATTTTTTTTTAATATTCAGTATTCAATTATGACTATAAATTTCCTTGCTGTTCTTTTGTTTTGCCTTTGCCCTAAAGTAAAAAATGCAAATATACTGGATTACAGAACTAAGACAGAGTCTCTTTATTTTTTGGTGGATCATCAAAAGAGATCTAGAGGACAACTGTTTGTTCCCATGATGTTTAAACATCATTTGAGAATTATACTCTTCAACTATATTTTGAGGGATACATCATTATTTTATTAACATTTTCATGTTTCATCATGCCTGATCATAAATAGAAAAAAAAAAAACTCATCAAAGATACCAGGCTTATATAAATTGATATTTGTACACTTTTTAAAAACATATTCATCATTTAAAAAAAAAACCAACCATAATCATAGCAAGTTTTGTTAAATTTACTTTGTCTCAAGTTAAAACCAAAGAAGAAGCTGTGATAAAACAACTTTAGGTTTATGTTACTTGAAATCATAATTGTGCATTATTATATATGTGTTATTTATAACTTAATTATGATTTATAATGTAAACTTGGGAGTCATTTTATATGAATTATAATCATATACTTGTGAGAAACAAAAGTTATAAGTTATCCTTATTCTTTCATTGATTATCTCCATTTAGCCCAGCTCATTTAACAAGACAATTCAAATATTTTCCTCAGACACCGATGTTTTCATTGTGGAGTCACCCCTTGGGTATTTTGTTGAGTTAGATTGCTTGATTGTTGCTTGCATAACGTCCATGTGAAGAAAGTAACCTGACTAATGTTTCCGAATAAAATTTGTAAAATTGACAATTTGACAAATGGTAAACTATGGTAATGCAGGGCTTAATATATGATGTAGATGCAATGGTAAGGTGTATCACAAAAATGTATAAAATCTAGATGGGATCATTTTCATTTTTTACAAATTTCCCTTTTGAGCCCACCGAAATGTACAACCTACTGGTACAATGCATCACCTAGACAATTGTGCTTATGTAGTTGTAAAATCTAATGATAAATGAAAAAGAGAATATGTCTGTTTTGCATTAAGACTAAAAAGTTGAAAAGTATAGAAGCTTCAACTTAAAAATAGTTGATAACAACAAAAATGAGAAATTGATGGGTTTGTATTGTAATAACATAAACAGTACCAATTTTAATGCACCAGATGTACATTTTGACATTTAATGTCTCTTCAGTGATGCTCGATTTGTCATTGTCAGTAGATGATGACGGATTGTAAAATTTTCAAAAATTATTTTAAAAATCATTTGATAAAATATTGTTAATAAGATGTGTTAAAAAAATTGTAACCAACAAGTGATCAAAAATAGTAACAAATTAGTGTTCTTAATAGTCATAAATTGATTCTTTAATTCCAAATGTCAAACTTTTATTGATCTCAGTTTTTTTCTGTTGCCTGTGACAAAGGTCACAAATTGCGAGACATAGGATTCTAATCTAGCTCTGGTAATGTAAGCTCTTCATAAAAAGCTTCATATATGAGCTAACTAATCCATATCTTAGTTTAAGGTGTCTGTTTAGTATCTTTCTTTTGTCCTTGATCTCATTTATAGAGGTCAATGACCATCTTACTAAACCATTTTTATCACCTGATTTTTTGAAGCTATTATGAATAATAGGACTTCATTTGGTTTATAGTAGCTATAGTAAGACATTGATCTTAAAGACTTTTTAAGATAGAACTCAACCATATTAAGTAAAGCAGGTGAGTTCTTTCTCTGTGTGCACTCATATGTGTAATTTGTTTTTAGTGTTTTTTTTTATTATCCAGCTTCATTAATACCTCTCTTAATAAATATTTTGTATATCATACTATCATACAAATATTTTGGATATCATAAGTCCTTGGACTATTATTGTACAAAAAGTACACCTAGTTGTCTGTTTATGTAACCTCATCCTTTTATAACTATTTTAAGAGGGTTATAAAGTAAAAATGATTCAGTCACATACTGCCAACTTTCCAAAATCTATGGAGGGTTTTAAGAACACGAAGATTTAGTGCATAGTGCATCTCTTATACATGTCATAAGTGTTTCTATGGTTATGAATGAGTACTTTAAATTCAGAAATTATTGCTAGATATTTATGTATGTGAATAATGCAACTGGGTGAGAAAAGCAATAATAGAAACTCCCATTCTGCTATTTGATAGATATATCTATATGCAGATATTCCTATAATGGCAATAATTATCTCACATTTTTGTCCATTCTTCAAAAATTGCAATAATACATGCAACAACTTCTGAATTTACAGTACATGTATATATGCCTAAATGTCATACTAATCGTTTGAATGTCTGTTTTGAGGTAAAAACTTTACATGATTGGGGATCATAAGAGTCACATCAACACCTCTCATTTGGGAAATCCCTCATGCTTTGGGAGAGTTGGCAAGTCTTGAGTCTCCTGTTGAAATAGTTCTAGCTTGTTTATCTTTCAGTTTTTACCATATTCTTGAAACTTATATTTGTTTTGTGTAGTTTTTTATATTGATAAGATTATTTTATGACATGTCCTATTATAAAAAGTATTTTTTAAGTGTTAGTGATCTCAAAGTTTTAAGAGGTTTGATTTTTAATTGATAAATCGACTGTGCGAGACCCTCATGAGTAGTCAAGGTCGTTAAACACCACTTAGTAGTAGTACTTGATAGATGCATTGCTTAAAATTGAATAAATGAAGGTAATGTTTGATATGATTGACTTCCAAATCATGGATATACATATTTATATCATATATATTATTTGTTATCCTTGCTAATTTATATAGAAATAAAACCATCTCCATTGTTTATTACATGAAGATTTTTTTGATACGCCTAATAACGTGACGTATTATGGTATACCCTTGTCCATCCATCCATCCATCCATCCATCTGCCCGTCTGTCTGTCTGTCCATTCTCAACATATTGGACAATAACTCAAAAGTGTTTTAACCTATTTTTATGAAACTTTGGTGAATTGTTTGTAGCTATTGATGTAAGCTCCTTTTCGATTTTTAAAAAGTTTAGATTTTATGTTTCCGAGTTATGGTATTTTATTCATAAAAAATGGGGGATTTTCCAGTTTTTATACGCCCGTTTACCGGACGTTTTATGGACTACCTCTGTCCGTCCGTCGTCAACATGTCGGACATTAACTCAAAAATGCTTTCACCAATTTGCATAAAACTTTGGTGAATTGTTTATATCTATTGACGTGAGCTCCCTTTCGTTTTTTATAAAATTTAGATTTCACGTTTCCGAGTTATGGGGTTTTATTCATTAAAAAAAGGGGGATTTTCCAGTTTTCGGACAATAAGTCAAGAATGCTTTCACTAACTTGCAAGAAATTGTGGTCAATTGTTTATATCTATTGACATGAGCTCCCTTTGGATTTTTATAAATTTTAGATTTTACGTTTCCGTCTTACAGGGTTTTATTCATAAAAAAAGGGGGATTTTCCAGTTTTCGGACAAAAACTCAAAAATGCTTTCAGCAATTCTTATGAAACCTTGGTGAATTCTTTGTTTGTATTGATGTAAGCTCCTTTTAGAAGTTTATAAATTTTACATTTTACATTTCTGAGTTATGGGGTTTTATTCATTAAAAAAAGGGGTGATTTTCAAGTTTTCGGGCAATAACTCAAAAATGCTGTCACCAATTCTCAGGAAACTTTGGTGAATTGTTAATATCTATTGATGTAAGCTCCCTTTTTATTTTCATAAATTTCTAATATGACATTGAGAATTAATTGAACCTTATTTGTTTATAGTCTGACAACAGATATACTAAGTATTGCACAACAGCAAGAAATCTTTAAGTGAATATAAATTCAATTCATATAACCAATTTCAAGTTCTTTGACTACATTTATTCAGAAACCTATAATATGTCAAATATTTAATTACAATCCAAATTCAGACCTGAATCAAGCTTGAATATTGTGTCCATTTTTTCCCCAACTGTTCAGGGTTGGACCTCTGTGGGTGTATCTAGCTGCGCTCAGCGAAGCAGGTTTTTTACTATTACTCCAAAACACTTTGAACAATTTTTTATGAAACTATGATGAATTGTTTATATATGTTGACATAAGTTCCCTTTTGGTTTTTTAAATTTTCTGATTTTTGTCCCCCCGCACAATGCGTTGCGGGGGACATGGAAATACTGGGCATCAGTCTGTCCGTCCGTCCGTCCAGTCTTGTTAGCGCTCTCATGTGTACAGTTCTTGCCAGATTTTTATGACACTTATATCATAGGTTTGTATTAGCAATGTCTTGGATGAGTTTCGAAAATCAGTGCCGATCAATTATTTTTAAAAGAGTTATGCCCCTTAGAAACATTAATTATATGGAAAATTGCATCGTTAGTGCTCTCATGTGTACAATTCTTGCCAGATGTTTATGAAACTTATATCATAGGTTTATATCAGCAATGTCTTGGACGATTCAAAAATCAGTGTCGATCAATAATTTTTAAAAGAGTTATGTCCCTTGGAAATATTGATTATATGGAAAATTGCATTGTTAGCACTCTCATGTGAACAATTTCTTTCCAGAATTTTATGAAACTTTTATCATAGGTTTATTTCAGCAATGTCTTTGACTCTTTCGAAAATAAGTGCTGATAAAATATTTTTAATGGGTTATGTCCCTGGAAAATTAATTATAACAAAAATGGCATTGCATCTGCTCTGAAGCCTTTATTTCTCTAAGATATTTATAAATTGTTTTAAAGAACAAGTATTTTAGTTATTGCCCTTGTACTTTGGAAAGATATGTACATAAGGTTAAGATGGGCAATGCAGGGGACATTGGAACTCTGTTCTTTTATATATTTTGGAGTATTGGGGCTTTATTCATAAAAAAGGGGGAATTTTCCAATTGTTTTTTTTTACATTAACCTAAAAATGCTTTGAGCAGTTGCAGTTTTCATGAAACTTTGGTGACTGGTTTATATCTTTTAAAATAAGCTCCCTTAAGTTTTTTCATAAATTTCTGATATGACATTTAGGAGTTATGGAACTTTATGGAGCAGCTCTTTATTTTTTATAATTTGACTGTCAAAAAAGGGAAGAAGATACAAGAGGGGGAGCAATAAATCAATACAAAATTAAAAAAAAAAAATAAATGCAACATCATGGCCAATTGAAGAATAAATTGAACAGTACACAAAACACTTCATAGAAAAAGATCATAATGCTAATTTCTTATCCTGATCCGCAAAATGCAAATTTATATGGTTAGATATCATTAGCTTATGGATTATATGTGCATGATTTATGATCAATACTTTTTAGGTCTTATTTAATTTATATGAGGTTTATGAAATACAACCCACAGTGGCGGATCCAGGAGGGGGTGGGGGGTTGCTTTGACTTGTTTATCAATTTTAGGTAGTTTTTATTGAGCCTTTATGATAAAAATACAGAAATATCAATGAATAAAACATCCAATCTGTTTACAGATGAAGATTTACACTAGTTTATTCTATAGCTGTCTAAGCTTATTATGGACTCAATGCTTTCAATATTCAATTTGCCAAAGGTCAGCAGGTTATTATGAACTTTTCAAGCTGGACTATTCATTTTGCTAATATTTAATATTTTAAAATAGTCTATTTAATGAATATATATTTTTTTTATTATCTCACAAACACATTTTCAGTGAAATGAATATAACTTTAGTACTTTTCCAGTAACTTCATTGTCACCACAAATTATATTGTAAGGTTTATTGTTATTTGAGCACATTTAGTATACTGTATTATAAACTCTTATATATACACACCCTATAATCAGATGTTATTTTCTGTGTTATGCCTTTTTAATTTGGTCATGCACAGCTCCTGCTTTGTTGTTGCATTTAATCTTAATGTTAGTTGTACAAGTATCAATTGGAGACTGAATAGTTCGAAATTAATTTACAGCCATTCAAGTGAAAAGGATTTACCAGGCAATAGTTTTTTTCCTAAAGTTGTGCATTTCATTTTTATTTTTTCCATGAACAGCAACCACCCTATCTAAAATCTTAAAAGGCTATATCTATATGAAACATGGTATATTGTTATAGTCTAGTAAACAGTTATATATTTGGCTAGAATGATCTAGTTTGTAAGGATCTTCAAGAGTTTAGAACCATGACAGTTTCTTCCTGTTCAAAAGGGATATTTTCATTGCAACACATCCTGCATGGTTAATTTCATTTACGTGAGATCCAAATATGCATATTTATTTACAATGTTCCATGACAGGAATATTGTGTTCTGCTTGGCGAACAGTTTAAGCTATTTTACTCACTTATGTTTTATAAATGAGATCAATGATGAAATTGCAGTAGTCTACCTATGAATATGGCAATTCGTATGCATCATCTGCAGTACACGAATTAACAACCAGTGATATGTAGCCCAATGTTATTTTCTGAATCTTGTGTACATATCATGTATGTAAAAACTCGTCAAAGATGAAAGGCTTTTCAATTGAGTCGACAGTGTGAGTAGTTCGTCCATAAAGTGCATTTTTTTTTTATTTTCGTGGTTTCCATTGTTCAATGATTGTTACTTCATTATCTTTGTTAATCTTATCACGGCTAAATGATTTAAAGAATAAACAAGGCTGTTATTGAAACAATCAAATACAGTGAGGTTGGGTTATCCTTACCTTGTTTAGGCACTTAAAGGATAGGTCTGGATGAGCTGTTATTAAAACACCCAAATATCTTTCGCAGTGCTCTGTCACACAAACAAATATAAAAACTTTGCCATATCGGACTTATAATTTAAAAAGTTGATATGATGTAACAGATTGCAAGTGGGTCAGCATTTTCAATAAACTGGAATAGGTGGAAAGACACACTAATTATCAAGTCACAGTTTTAAGATCACTGGAAGGGGGTTGTAATTGCTGTAGAAATTTGATTCATTCACTTGAAATAAATACAAAACTCGTGAGCAGTATCCTTGTTAATGATGTCTACTGGGGAAAAATCAGTAGTAATTCGTAATCAATAGAATGAGGATTTGTATAGTATTATAAAAATCCTTGATTAGAACATAGATTATAAAATACATCTATGATTATAGAACGACTAATGTTTTCGATGCATCTTTGTCAACATATTGACACAGTGCGCAAAAATATCATTTTCTCGATAAAAATACTATTATCAAATCAATTACTTTCTTACAACGGTGAAAAAATATATTTGGGTGACATCACCCTTGTGGTCATCTTGAAAAACGTCTCGGTGTTTTTGAATGGCATAACCAGTATAAAAAAATCTGATGTAATTACTAATGTGACTCCTTCAAATGTCTGCCAGTATCCTCTCTTGATTATATAATGTACTATAGGGCAACTTATATTGTGATATTTTTAAAATGAATTCCACACTCGTACACGCTTTGATGAAATTATTTCAGTTAGTTTCGTCAGATTATTTTAAAACTTTGAAGAATAATTTTACATAAATAGCCACATTTGGTGATTTTTGCATACTATCCAGATCGTTACAATTAAGTTTTACAGCTGCATTTTCGATTTAGGATACCTATTTTTTTCTCGCCTGCGACTTGGGGATTACAATCCCGCGACGGCGGTATTTATTTGGATAAAGCTTTATATTTCAGAAGGTAGAAGACTTGGATGCTTCATATGTTGTATACATATACCTTACGAAGTTTCCATCTGTCATACGTCCATTGTCCTTGGCCTCATTTTCATGGTTCAGTGACTGCTTGAAAACAAGTACAGTTTTTTTGTCAAGTGAAATGCTCATTTATAATAGTAATAGGAAAACCATATTTGGTATATGGGTTCCTTGTAACGTCTATATGACCGCATTGTAAGGTTCACCTGACCTCGACCTCATTTTATGGATCAGTGATCAAGATTTAAGTTACGTGTTCAAGTCCGTATCTCCGATACTATAAGCATTAGGTCAACTATATTTGGTGTATGGAATGATTTTAAGGTGTACATGTGCGATTGGCAGGTTTCATCTGACCTTATCCTCAATTTTATTGGTTCATTGGACAATGCTTAGTTTTTGTGGTTTGGTCTATTTCTCAGATACTATAAGGAATAGAGTCACTGTATTTGGTGTATAGATTGATTGTTAGGTGTTCATGTCTCTTTGACAGGGTTCATAAGACCTTGATCTCATTTTCATGGTTCATTGTTCAATGATAATTTTTATACTCCACACAACAAGTTGCGGAGGGTATAATGTTTTTGACCCGTCCGTCAGTCTGTCAGTCCGTCAGTCCGTCAGTCTGTTTCTTGTCATCGCAACTCCTCTCAAACCACACAACATAATTTCACGAAACCTTTTTAGATAATAAGGACATACTATGTAGTTGAGCATATCGACAGGAAATTATGATTCAATTCTTTTTCTAGGAGTTACACCCCTTTGAACTTATTTATTTTAATGTACTACTGCTACAGTTTGTCATCGCAACTCCTCTCAAACCACACATTAGAATTTCATGAGACCTTTTCAGATAATAAGGACATACTACGTAGATGTGCATATCGACAGGAAATTACGATTCAATTATTTTTCCAGGAGGTACGCCCCTTTGAACTTATTTGCCCAATATACTACTGCAACCTTTTGTCATCGCAACTCCTCTTAAACCACACAACAGAATTTCATGAAACCTTTTCAGATAATAAGGACATACTACGTAGATGTGCATATCGACAGGAAATTATGATTCAATTTTTTTTCGAGGAGTTACGCCCCTTTGAACTTATTTGCCCAATATACTACTGCAATCTTTTGTCATTGAAACTCCTCTCAAACCACACAACAGAATTTCATGAAACCTTTTCAGATAATAAGGACATACTACGTAGATGTGCATATCGACAGGAAATTACGATTCAATTTTTTTCCAGGAGTTATGCCCCTTTGAACTTATTTGCCCAATATACTACTGCAACCTTTTGTCATCGCAACTCCTCTCAAACCACACAACAGAATTTCATGAAACTGTGTAGATAATAAGGACATACTATGTAGATGTGCATATTGACAGGAAATTATGATTCAATTTTATTTTCTGATACAATTTGTTTTCTTACACTTATTTTATTTCTCCAATGACAATGTGGGGTCCTGGGGTATGTGAGCGCGCTCACTAAGGTTCTTTAATTTTTTTTAATTTTATCAGAAACTATAAGCAATAGGTCAACTATATTTGGTGTATGGAATGATTGTAAGGTGTATATGACTGTCTGGTAGGGTTCATATGACCTTGGCCTCATTTTCATTGTTCATTGGTCAATGGTAAGATTTTATAGTTTGATCTGTTCTTCATGCACTGTTAGCGATAGGACCACTATATTACGTATATGGAATTATTGCAAGATGAACATGTTTGTCTGGCATGGTTCATCTGACTGTGACCTCATTTTCATAGAACATTGATAATGTTAAGTTTATGTGATACTTGTAAATCTTCACATCAAAGACTCAACATGAATGCAATGCTTTGTAAAACAGGCGTGTGCACTCTTTGTTGTCATATTTTTTGTCTGTTTTACCTACAGCGTGCAGTTTTCTTCAGTATTGTTAATTTCTTTTTTTTTTACTATTACTATCAATCAACCTTTCTTAATGACTCTCAAGTTTATATTCCCTACAGGATATCGTGTACTAGTGTCATTACCATTAACATGATTTTACAAGTAACATACCATACCAAATGTATTGCAAGAAGACCGTTTGAGTCTTACACATTGTCTTTTGTATCGACGAATTGCTGCATATTTGACATACCCTCCTCCTTTTATTCATAACAGTCTATTTCGACTCGGTCTAACCATTGGTTAAGTTTGGGAATAAAACATCATAATTTTATGGTTATGTATTGGAATATTTAATGGAAAAGGATTGGGATATTCAACCAAAAGGGGTTGATTTGTAAACGATACCACGGTTAATAATGTGACTGACTTCACTGCAATTGTTCTAGTTCTAAGGTTGAAATGCAATGTGACTAATTGTGTTTTTAATGACAAACTGTCGTTGAGACGTTACTTTTACCATCTTAAGGCATCAATTCTTCATGGTCACTTTCAACCACTGATACTAAAAGGACTGCTTCATACCTTGATCTTTTCCTCAATAATGACACAGATGGACGACTTCACACTAAAATCTATTACAAACGGGACGATTTCTACTTCCCAATTATCAATTTCCCATTTTCAGCAGTAACATACCCTCTGCCCCGTCGTATGGTGTTTACATATCTCAACTGATACGTTATACTCGTGCATGTTCACACTATACGGACTTCATATACAGGAGTGTGCTTCTTACGCAGAAACTGCTCCAACAGAGTTATAAGGAGGAGAGATTAAAGATGACACTCCGTAAATTTTATGGAACCATCACGAATTGGTTAATCTATACGATGTGTCTGTGTCTAAACTAACTAACAACATTTTTTACCACGTCTTGGATGTGGTTTACCATCTACGTCGTCTGGTCTGCTTAGTACCGAACGTGACCTATACCCGAATATGACGGTTTTGCCGAGTGTGAATTCGCATTGCTATAGGACGTGTCTCGGTATTTATATATCCAACATTCATGTATTTAGTTATGATGTTTCTTTTGTAAGTCCGGTTGGATATTTTGTTATAGTATGTTTTATGTACGCTGTTGGAGACGACGTGGTTCGGTATTTATATATCCAGCTTTGGGTCATTTTTTTTGTTACTTTCTTATACGTGTGGATCCGGTGGGTCATTTTGTGTTGAGTTGTTGTCTGTTTATTTCGTTTGTGGTTTGAATTCTGTATTTTTCGGTACATTTCACATATGTATTATTTGTCTGTATAGTTGAGTTACTCGTGGTTCGTCTACGGGGTTTTTGTTATATGTTGTTTGTTTTCATGTGTGTTTATTGTTTGGTCTTACATGATCTTGCCTTATATTACAGTTATTTTATTTTTATTTTCTATATGTATGTAAAAGTTCAGATAAAAAATCAGCTACTTCATTTATATGATTTTAAGTTTAAAGCAACTGTATGCACAGGCTTTTTTGTTTGCGCACAGTTTTGATTTCGAAGAGAGGCCGACATGGTTGGAGAATGCAGAGTGACTCCATTGCAGGTTCGGTCCCAATTTGATATTCTTGTGCGTGTCTATAGATAAAACAAATCTATTTTATTTTCAGAAATTTACCTATGATAATATAAACGTCATAAAAAATACGTCACTTTTTGTGACGTTCGTCCATTCATGTGACGCGCAGTTTATATTTCGTTTGTGGTGTCCTGGTGTGCTGTCGTAAATTCATGGGAGGTGTCCGCTGTTATTCTACGGTTTACATGTTGTAATGTACTTTTATATTATTTATTTATGTATTTCTCTGTGCTGAGTGTTCTTGCGTTTGTTTGTACTGTATTCCTGTCACGTAGTGTTGTCATCTTAACAGTATTTTTAACATTGCCGTATAAGCGGAAGGTTTGGCTAGCCATACAAACAGGTTCAACCCACCATTTTTTCTAAAAATGTCCTGTTCCAAGTCAGGAATATGGCAGTTGTTATCAGACAGTCCGTTTCTATGTATGTTGGCGTTTGCTTTAGTTGTTGTTCTGTGTTTCTGTTGTTCCGTTGTTTTCCTCTTATAGTTGATGTGTTTCCCTCGGTTTTAGTTTGTTACCCGGATTTGTTTTTTCTTAATCGAATTATGACTATTGAACAGCGGTATACTACTGTTGCCTTTATTCAACACAACTTCACGTCTCTGAACAATAGGCATAGCCACATCGTGTTCACTCGTGCATATAACGTCGCCGTTACCACAAAAAGAGGAAAGTAATCGTATAAGCATCCACCTACTTGACAACCTGAATGACCACTAACTCTCCACAACAAAATTTTGCATCATATATATATATGATGCAAAATCTTGCATCTAAAACGGAGGCATTGCACATTTACGTCTGTGAATATAAATAATTGAATGTGTTCTTTGACAGCGGTGAGAATATACATAAAATAAATCAAATATATATATACATGTGTGTACTGTTGAAGACAGTATTAGTATGCTGACTTATATTTGTCTTTTATGTTAACGTATCGTTGTCTCATTGACTTATTCCCTAAATGTATATGTCTTTTTATCCATAATGCTATAATTAGACAAAGGCCACATCTGAGGCGTAAATAAAATGTAAAACTATCTATTTCATTGTTTAATAGAGGTAATACGAATTTCACGGACATTTGCTATATGATATATTGACATGCATGTTACAGGTGCAGGATAAATATGAATGGCCCATTGTTTTCATTTTACCCCTTTACCTTTTCCAGTGTCTTTTATCATTTACGATCTCCATTGACAAAAATTGTATATAAGCTCCTGATCAAAAATATTAATGCCCGTAGACGTCTATGACTTGATGCAACAGTTCTAAAACGGAGGCATTGCACATTTACGTCTCTGGATATAAATAATTGTGTTCTTTGACAGTGGTGAGAATATACATCAAATAAATCAAATTTTGCAGAAACGGTTTCCTTTGTTTTTATCACCATTGCCTCAACTTCGATTTCTGTTCCATCAAATGATTAAACAGTTTATATTTACATTTTTTTTTGTGGTCTCAGATGGGGAACTCACTCCTTTTCTTAATGTCTTAGCTACCCGAGAAAATCAAATTTTGCAGAAACGATTTCCTTTGTTTTTATCACCATTGCCTCAACTTCGATTTCTGTTCCGTCAAATTTGAATCGAACTTGAACCTTCCGAGAGTTAGTATTCAAGAAACTTTTTCGGGATGAATGAAGTTCCACCACAAGTTTTCCTAGGTAAGAAGATTCTCGATCGGTAACAAACAAGGGAGCCTTGCCATCCGCAGTATAAATCTCAACAGTAACAGTCGACTGACTGTCTATGACTGGATAGTAAATCTCCCGCGCAAACTTTTGTCCAACTTCAGCTATTTGGTTGGATATGATATGAGTGTCGAAAATATTTCCTACAACTAACTGGCCATTTAAAACAATTCGCTTTTCAGGCGGATGTTTATCGGGATCGTAGTTATTACAACTTCTAACTCCATAGGTCTTTCTGATTACCCTTGCTTTTACCGTGTGTGGATTTCTTCCAAACAGTATTGCTCCTTTTAATACGGCTACATTAGCTTCATGCGGAATAATGATACGGAAGTTGGAGAAGTTGTTGTGTATTGCTTTTTGCAGAACTGGACAGTTTGCAAAGCCGCCAACTAGAAGTATTGTTTCTATTCCATATTTGTTTCTGCTAAGTAGGCACGTCAAACTTCTGATAAGTGCTGCAATGGTTTCGGCAAAATATTCGGCAAAGGCGTCTTTAGAAATAACCATCTTATCATGTATAATTTGAACGGAATCGGAAAACGGTGAATCTTGTAAATATAATTCGGGTTTTTTTTCGAATTCTTTTTTGATCGCAGTTCTAAGTGTGACAGGGAAAGACAACGTCACTCTATCGTCTTTTTCTGGGTCGAACACTATTTTCTTCCTTTCAAACGATGCAAGTAGATTCATATATTCCTCTGGATGGTTAGATCGGAATTCATCTATCACTTTAAAAGTAAAAATATTTCCTAAGTATTTCACGAATGAATCGTTTATTGCATTTGAACCCCAGTCCCCTCCTCTTGCTGACATCAACTCTCGCAGAACTCCGTCAGGTGTAGAGTGGAAACCAGTGATGTCTACAGTACCACCTATTAAAACATTTACAATGAATATTATTGAATATGAATATCTAAAGACGTGGGTTTGTTGAGTCGGTTTCAAGACAGTCTAATTTACTTATAGACTCAAAAATCGGAGTGATTTAACTGATGAGTAACTAACAATTCGATCCATCTATTTAAATAATCATTTTTATTTATTAGCGATCTGAGCAGTGTAGTGTCATCTGCGAAAAACAAAATTACACTGCCAATACTTTCAGCTTATGGCATATAATGGTCTACTGTAGTACTTCGGTTGAATACGTTAATTGTTCAGGGCAATTAAAATGTAAAAGAAAACGATAGTTCTGGGGCTAATTTCTGAACAAACTTCCCGGTAGTCACTGAAACATAATGCATATCACTTGCATGTGGATTCTATCGTATGATTTTTAAGTTTAACTTAAATACTAATATTCAAATTACCTCCAAGATCTACCACCAGATACTTTAATGTTGTGTCTTTTGCTGATGTTAGGGAGGGTGGAAATCCGATATATGTTTGTCTAGTAGTTGGTACGTGTTGGCAAAATATAGCAGCAGCTTCTGGTTCTAAAGCCAGACTGAGCTTAGATCCTTCGATCCCTGCCTATCAACAAACAAAAATTTCAAATTTTACAAATTTATCTTTGTCAAAAGATAAAAAGATTTATTAATCTTGAAATAACATTTTAACTTACTAAGAGATTATTAATTTGACTTTGATTGTATCTTTTTTTATTTTACATTTTCAACAATTGAGAGATTATTAGATATTTTTGAAGGAGTGTAACGAGAGGGTCGGACACATAAATACAAAGGGACCATGCATTTTCGTAAAACGTTTTCTCTGAATAATTTGTTGCATATGACAACTTGACGTGAACAACAGAGTCAGCGTACGAAAGCAACCTAACAACACAAAATGACATCTAGCTGCAATAAAACTATATATCTTTCTTAAACATTATAATTGTCGTAATTTATAGTTTGATTGTTTCATATCTGCCAACTAGTTAGCAAATATTAATTTTTGTTTTAACATGTTCTCGAATAACCTTTGAATGAAGAAGAGTATGCCTTTTGAAACTTGCCCTTTCAGCAGCTTCTCTCATAAACTGTTTCGCTTTGTCACTCCATATTGCAGGTACAGTTAACACAAAGTGAATATCACTTTCCTGTACGATGTCGATTTGTTGTTGAAGTTTCGTCATAATATCATTTTTCAGGAAGTAGATGCAGTAACAGAACACGTCCAATGCAAAAATCTCCTTTCCAGTGACGTCTTTAATTACTGTGAACCGGTTCAGTTTCTGTAGCATTAAAAATGAAAATGATTTTTTCCATATGTTATAGTCGTAGACTATCAGGTCACAAATAAAAGCTAATGTATTATTTACCTGAAATTTTTAACCATCAATCTTTTCAGAAAACAGGTTAACTAATGTCAGTTCACAAAAAGAGACTACGATACACACAAAAAAAGAAAGAAAATCCATGATAAAGTAATTATCTTGGACGTATGACCGACCTATAAACAAAAGATTTGCGTCTTACAAATGATCGGTGAATGGATAAGAAAAAATAATTATAAAGAGAATTAAAACACTTAAAATGTCGGGTTTTTTTCTGTGGGTGACATGATCTTAGGCTGCATAAAAATTTGTTTTAAAACCATCATCATTTCACGAATAAAAAATATATGGTGTGCATCGGCTGTTAGAGAATTTTTTGAAAAACTTATACAGGATATTAAATTGAATAACATGTTGGAGTAAGATGCTTATGATTTGTGTTTTTTTTTCTAGTCAGAAATATTAAGGCATATATATATTTACAGGCGATTCATACAGCATCATCTTGAATGACTTGAAGTAGTACCACAACTTGTGTTGCCTTGTCGGAAGGTTCGCATAATTATACTCAGCATCGTATCCGAAACTATGGAAAGTACCATCTGGTCGAAGTAAAAGATCCGACGGCATCTTATACGTCACGTGTCCATCAAAACGTGATATCCAGTTGAACGTCTGGATGTTCAAGGGATCTTTGTTGTAATCTGTGAGTAAGGATATGGCATAGCCTGAAAATGTAGTTCCAATATCCAGAGCAGCTACAAATGTATCCCTTCGAATCTCGCCTGTTTTTGAACTCGTGCCCTATCATAGAAAATAAAGTACTGCATGTGGTACTGAGTCTGTATAAAATTGATACTCTTTTTATGTATTTAATCATTAAAACTGATTTTTATCAATTCCAAATGGCGTTTAGCGGATTCATGAGGTCGTCTTTGTTCTCTCAAATATTCAATTTTGAACCTATCCTATGTATACATGTAGGATTTTTTTTCCACATACAAGTGAATGATTGACAAAAGAAACATAAAATAAATTAAGAAATATGAAAGTATGATTCCATTTGTTATGTTTTTGAATAGAAGGGATTGTCAAAACTAAAACTAAAATTCTCAATGTTTAAAGATATAATACTGAGAATTCACTTATCACGAGGTCTCTTTTGTTCTTGTCGCCGGAATAAAACCAAAATGCTATTTTTCGTGTTACATAGTTCATTGTCCAAAATTACTGAAGTTCTGCAATTCAAGGTAATCATGCAATAATGCAGAAATTGACGGTTACTGTAACGACCAAACTGGCTGGCAACATTATTGATTAATATGTGCATTCTTTTCGTTTTTTGTTTTTTGTTTTTGTGTTTTTGTTTTGTTTTGTTTTTGTTTTTTTTTTTATGTGCTTTTTAACGGAATCATGGTAGGATTTTCTTTGCATGACAAACAGTGAAACTTACAAATAGTCCTGATATTCTTTTACTAGTTCTGTTACTTGAATTTGAATCATTTGAACCTCTAGAATCATTGTGTGGCCTACAAGAAATAAGATTATACCAGTAAAGCATATCTCATAGTGGTGTCGACTATCGGACCATTTCGGAAAAACAGAAGCAGCATGGGAAAAGAAAAAAATGATGGTTTGGTGTTAGTGAAATTATTCATTATATTTCATGTGTTAAAAATTCAGGAAATTTTAAAACGTATTACTTATACATGGAGTTGAATATAATCGTCTAAACTATCTCGGGACAAAGATTTTTTTTTTTATTTTGGTGTTTTTGTTTTTTTTCATGCAATCATATAGAATTGTAATCTGTTTTCTTTCCATATTGAAACAACAGTTCTGATATTCTCTTCTACTAGTTTGTTATTTGAAAAAAAAATATTTGAACCTCTGAAATCAGTGTGTGGTCTGGAAGGAAAAGGATTCTTCAAGTTTAGAAAAATAAAGGAGATATGATTACCAAGGAGACAACTATCCAACAAAGACAAAAAAAATGATGTGAACAACCACGTTTCACATAACGGTCTTCAACTATAAGCAAAACCCATTCTGTATTGTAAGATGTAAAAAGACCCGTGATTAAAAATGTGAAAACTTTCAAAAGACAAACACATCAAAACCCATAGCAGTGTCGGATTATCGGAACATTTCGAAATAATAGAATCAACAACGAAAACTACAGAAAAAAAAAACAATATGGATATTTGTAATTGAAATTAATCTTATTAAATTTCAATTAAATCAAGTAAAACATGAAATTTATTGCGTAAATATAAGATTATGACATCATATTCAGGACAATCATTAATTCATCATTTTGTTACTTTTTCTACAATAACCTAAAACTGCTACTTGATTTTTTTCTGCATTGGATCAACATCAGATTGGTTATATCATTAATTCAACTAGACGGTTAAAAAGTGTGTTTGTATGGGAGAGGAGGTTTGAGAGGGATAAATCATTATTTTGTTTACCTCTTTGATCCTTTGTTTCTGTATCTTACTTGTTCCCCTACCTCTTCATTATCTTCAACCTTCTGCACTTGATTGCTTTGTGTGTTTCCCATTTGTCTTCAAACGTTTTGCAAAAACAAATATATTCGTGAAATATCCTCAATGGAATTCACTCAAAATTGTGAAAATATTTAGAAACTTATGTTCAGATTGATATAATTTAAATTAACGCTTAATATTTTAATTGTGAAATATAAATCAGATTAATACTTTGTTACCATAAACCAGCTGTTGTCTATTTTTCTGCAACCTTAAAATTCATTTTATATTTGCTCATCACAAATTTCTTTATATATTATGAATGTCAATACCATGTTTTTACGCCTTGTTTAGTTAGAGATGGGGTTTGATTGCCAATGAGACAACTATCCACTATATAGATATAAGAAGATGTGGTTTGATTGACAATGAGACAACTACCCATCCAAGTTACTATAGTTTGCTTTACTTTTGTTCCTTATTTTCATTGCTCTGTATGCCGTTCTTGCTTTCTGTATATTCTTTTTTCTCAGAGAACTCGATTTTTTTTACCGGATTATAGTTTTAATCGAATACCGCCTCCCTCAAAAAGAATTTAATTTAGAGAAGTCGATATTAATTTTGAAAAACTTGGAAAAGAAAACAAAATATTATAAACAACAAAACACCTTACCTGCTCCTCCTCAGGAAGTCGAATGCAGCAGTGCTTCCTGATCTATAACCTTGTTGTACTACTTGTATATATTTCGGCCAATATAAATGTTTTGGTACATACTACCTATAGGTATAGGTATATGAAAGTAATATGGGTTTTTTAAGTTTCGATGACTTGCTTTTTTTCTTATGGTAGGAAGCAAATAACACTGGACAAAAATTCTTAACAAAAAGTTAAAAATTTTAAATTGTTGACAGAACAAGTAAATGATGAAATTTCCACAGAGAGTACCATGTGTTCTTCTCATATTTCTTTCTTTCTTTCTTTCTTTCTTGCTTTCTGTCTGTCTGTCTGTCTGTCTGTCTGTCTGTCTGTCTGTCTTCATTATGAATGAATGAATGAATGAATGAATGAATGAATGAATAGGAAGGAAGGAAATGAATGAATGAAGGAATGGAGGAAGGAAGGAAGGAAATGATTGAATGAAGGGAGGAAGGAAGAAAATGAATGAATGAATGAATGAATGAATGAATGAATGAATGAAGGAAGAAAATGAATGAATGAATGAATGAATGAATGAATGAATGAATGAATGAATGAATGAATGAATGATTGAATGAATGAATGAATGAATGAATGAATGAATGAATGAATGAATGAATGAATGGAAAAAGACGCATACAAAATCTTTGAAAGGGATGTCATGTGATTTTTTTTGAAATGTAGAAAACTGATTCAACAGATTTAAAAAATATTCAAAAAGGGCGCTGTTCTCAGAAACAATAATACAACCGAAACATAGATATATGATTCCTGGTTTAAAGTACAAGTGAGCGCAGAACATACATTTAAATTGTTGTTAAATTTCAAATGGGATCGAGAAATTTCAGAAGGAAAAGAGAGAGGTAACAAAATTGATACTTGTTTTGTAATGTAATTATAGCTATTAGAAAGTACCAAACGTATGCATAAATTTTCGCGATTTTCGTTTATCCGCTAAAATAAGCGAAAATAAACACCCCGCGAAAATAACCCGCTATACGGTACGCAACTGACAGAAAGTTATAATCCGTTGTGTTCACTCTGATGGACACTTAATTAATAAAATTCCAGTTCTGAATCAATAGAATTGGCAACTAATACAATTGAATAGTTAATAGGACCAGAAGACAAGCTGTTTACGTAAATTATTTCGAACACAAGGGTGACCGGGATACAGTGATATGGTCTACATGGTTTTCTTTCGACCGGCATTTAAATCCTTGCCGAACTTGTGTGTGGGGGGGGGGTCCGTTTGGCTGAGCGGGATGATAAACTACGTAGCCAAGCCCGGTCAGAATGTGGACGTTCAATCCAATGCCTAGTGTGAAAGAGTGCTACGCTCTCAGAATGTTAAAGAACCCTGTTACAACTCCTTGCGTGGTTCGTAGGTGATATATTTCAAGGCAACATTTCTGATGCTAACAAATAAACATACCATTTTTTTCCAGAGGCATTCGAAATTTCCCGCCCTACATCCCTACCGTCCTTACTTGCATAACATACCAGTTGTATTAAATGTTAATAGTTTCTCGTCCTTCAATGTGCATGAAATAGTTGCCGCTAGACGTGAGGAAAGCAACAGTCAATCAATCGTAATTCATAAGTTTTCTGATACAAATAAGCACATTTCATTTGTTTAATACACAAGACGTGGAATGTATTGAATTCGTATATATATATAATCAGTTGACAGGTAAGTGACAAATTAACCAAAAAGTGATAAAAAATAAAGAAAAATAGTAATGTTATGAACACAAGAAAAAACATTCGAACTAATCAAAAATACAATAATAAAGTAAAATTGAGAATGGAAATGGGGAATGTGTCAAAGAGACAACAACCCGACCATAGAGCAGACAACAGCCGAATAATAAAGTACATGTTTTACCACCAGGTGTAAAAAAAAATATGCCGTAAGCATAAACTAAATTGCTTATAGGAAATCCGGAAAAGGTGATCAATCAAACTACAAACTCCGCGATCGTCCTGAATATGCATGAAATATTTGCCACTGGCATTAAACAAACAACAATCAATCATCATACGAACTTCTTCCACCACATACATTTGTATACATCCGAAATAGCCCCGCTCCCGGTAAACTGGCCTTAAGGTCGCACGGTGACCTATAACTTCTATGTCATTTGGTCTCTGATAGAGAGTTGTCGCATCTTCTTATTTTTATATTTAGATTTAGTAAAATCAGAATGTATAGTCTTTTGTGTAACATAAGCAGAAAATGTATTTGGCGAAGTATAAGAAAGACGACGTGGGAGTGTTGAGTTCTCATTGGTATAAGTCTGCAACACACTCCTGGCATATATGAATCTTTGAGGTTCCGATCCTGACCCCGTAGCTTGGACAGAAGGAAGGTTCTGACAGTACAAAAAAAAATGTAATGAAAAGTGTAAGAAAAGTTTAAATTGCATTGGTCAGTTACAACCCCACTTACAACAACATGAAGAAGTGCATTGGTCAGTTACAACCCCGCTTACAACAACATGATGAAGTGCATTGGTCAGTTACAACCCCGCCTACAACAACATGAAGAAGTGCATTGGTCAGTTACAACCCAGCTTACAACAACAGGAAGACGTGCATTGGTCAGTTACAACCCCGCTTACAACAACATGAAGAAGTGCATTGGTCAGTTACAACCCCGCTTACAACAACATGAAGAAGTGCATTGATCAGTTACAACCCCACTTATAACAACAGGAAGACGTGCATTGGTCAGTTACAACCCCGCTTACAACAACAGGAAGACGTGCATTGGTCAGTTACAACCCCGCATACAACAACAGGAAGAAATACATACAAGTAACATTCCCTTAGTATTCTTAATTATAATACCGCAGTTGTGAAATAGATGATATTTTATTATGATATATCTTGTAACATGAAGTTTATATATTTTTTGCTTGCCTGCCAGTGTGCCATTTAATGAAAGATATTAACCTAGATAAACAGAAGTCGAGTGAAAAACTGTTGGTCATTTACTTATATCCTGATATACTATATATAACAACAGCTGTTTTTAAAGGGAAGACGTCGGTATAATATTTCATACAAATGTAACAAATAAGTAATAAAGCTTCAAGTGACACTGCATATCTTCCCTGTTGATTATATTTCAGCAGTTTTTACAGTGCAGTGTCATTGGGGACTTATTTGTTTGATAGAATACAAGTTTGTTAAGAAGTAACGTGCATTGTTTTGTAAATTTGTACGGACGTGATACAAATATACGACTGATTTTTAGAGGTAGACGAAACAATGACTGAGAAGAATAAGTACAGGTACAAGTACAATGAAAGAACAAGTTTAAGAAAAAAAAACCATAATTCGAAATAGGGAGTTAGACAAATGCCTTAAAAATCTATTTAAACAAGAAATGATTGTAACAGGATGCTGTTACGAAGTCTCCCAAACGAAGCTCCCATAATTCGTAATTCCCAGGGTCGCCTGACATTGGGCAACGTCCAGTGAAAATTGGTTTGGTCCAGTAAAGTTATATGCATTAGTGATGCCTGGGGACTAACCTTGTATATCATTCAAATCAAATCAAACCAGAATATATATGGTTTAGAGGTGGGGATCTCGACCATTTACAAGATACTAGAACATTGGGGATGGGGAGGAACCCCTGGGGACTGGCCCTATACGTCATTCAAATGTTCATTACATGACAAACAGGAATATATATGGTTTAGGGGTGGGGATCTCGACCATTTACAAGATATTAGAACTTTCTCAAATGGCAGGGGGTCGGGATGACCCCTGGGGACTAACCCTGTATATCATTCAAACCATCTTAGCATGACAAACCAGAATATATATGGTTTAGGGGTGGGGATCTTGACAACTTACAAGATATTAGAACTTTCTTAAATGGCAGGGGGTGGGGGTGACCCCTAGGGACTAACCCTGTATTTTATTTGATGTGCTTTATCAAGACAAACCAGAATATATATGGTTTACGGGTGGGGATCTCGACCATTTACAAGATATTAGAACTTTCTCAAATGGCAGGGGGTCGGGATGACCCCTTGGGACTAACCCTGTATATCATTCAAATCATCTTAGCATGACAAACCAGAATAAATATGGTTTAGGGGTGGGGATCTTGACCACTTAGAAGATATTAGAACTTTCTTAAATGGCAGGGGGTGGGGGTGACCCCTTGGGACTAACCCTGTATTACATTTGATGTGCTTTATCAAGACAAACCAGAATATATATGGTTTACGGGTGGGGATCTCGACCATTTACAAGATATTAGAACTTTCTCAAATGGCAGGGGGTCGGGATGACCCCTGGGGACTAACCCTGTATATCATTCAAACCATCTTAGCATGACAAACCAGAGTATATATGGTTTAGGGGTGGGGATCTTGACCACTTACA